CCAGAATAGGCTCCAAAGCCACACAGAGAAACCCTGTCTCATAAAACAAAACCAACAATAACAAAAAAAAAGAGTGATGGCTTCTCTTGCAAAGGACAGGAGTTCAATTCCCACCACCCACAGGCAACTCAGCCGCTTATAATTCCAGCCCAAGGGGAATCTGATACGCACACACACATAAATAAAAATAAGTCTTTATATATTTCACATTGAATTCATGAACTAGACCTCTAAAGTAGTGTAGTACCCTGTTTACTAAAATGTCATTAGGTAACCCCTTTGTTTCTGCCATGTAACAGAATTTGTTGGGGACATTGATTGTTGGCAAAACTGTACCCACATAACTGAGAAGTCAGACAGCATAGCATGGGTTTCACATCGTGAGTCCTTCTTATGTTACGTCCAAGAAATCCAGTGGACTTCACAAGGATGCAGACACAGCTCACCTTGTTGCCCTGGCCAATGGCACAGCAGCCTCACCCAATCGGATGATTACTCCATTGAAAAAATTGCTTAGGATATTGCGATGCTCATGTCTCAGGGGTTTTTGTCTCCACAGGCCACTCTGTGGCCTCTGAGTTAAAGAATGCCTCAGTTGGGTGATTGTTTCCTTCGGAGGTGGACAAGATCATTGCTGAGTAGCTTGAGTGACCCCTACAAGACCCCTGGAGCTCCCCCCCCCCAACCCAGCTAAGTAAGACCTGGGAATATTTCTATAGAGAAAGCAGTGACAGGGAGACCTTTGGTACTTGCTGGTCAGCCAGTCTAGCTAAATCCAGGAGAGGACCCTGTCTCAAAATATAAGGTAGCGAACAATTGAGGAACAAAACCCCAAAAATCCATAGATGTGCGTATGTACCTGAACATACATATGTGTGCATAGATAAGCACACAATTACAACTGGATCGATGATGGCCCAACAGGTAAAAATGCTTGCTGCCAAGCCTGATGACCTGAGTTTGACCCCCTGAATCGAATAGACGGAAAGGACCGAGTCCCACAAGTTGTTATGTAGTGGCACTCCTACTTATGCACAGACACACTAAGGGAGTTAGTCTCAGGAAGCGGGACGGAATGAGAAGCCTCTGGGGCCACTCTTAGCTGTTGAGGAACTGATCGTCACAAGGTTGTCAGCTCAGCTAGAAATGGTGGGGGGAGGGGGAGGCCAGGAGAGTGCTCGGAAGTGATTGTAGGGAGACGCTCCTGTGATGTCAAAGTCCATGCTAAGTAAGGTCGCATTGCCACTCCAGGGTCTTCTGCTGAATTGGAATGACACCTTATCTTCACTGTGCCCAAAAAAATGCTGCTGTGTAAGCAGAAACCAGGAAGGTACCTTTGTAAAAAGGCAGCACAAGCTGTAGCTGCTTGAGCTCAGACTTATGAAAGATGGTACTGCAGCTAGAAGGAAGGGGTGGCTTTTGAGAGAATAAGTTGACTGGTCTTTACGTTAATGTGTAGAAAGTTCTAGAGCTTTGCTATAACCCAGACCATTGCCATTCTCCAAAGGGAAGCACTCCAGAGAGCACAAACAAAGTTTCCATGGTGGATGGATAATCAGTGTATCCAATATGAAATCGGCAGAAGACTGGGTATCTGGTTCTTAGATGAGGGGCCCAGATGGGCACTTGGCTAATTAAAAAACCATGTGAGTGCAGGATATGCCTATTGTGATCACAGAGAAGAGGTCTGGAGCAGAACCTCCGTGTCCCCTGGCTCACTCCCCTCTCCCAGCTCATCTGCAGAGATATGGCAATGACCACAACTCAGGAACAGCGCAGTGGACACTCACAGCTGGTTTTCAGACTGTGATATTCTTCTATTTTTATGAATACAGTTGAAACCCAAGTTCTCCTTATTCCTCCAGAGCATCTATAATGGCCAGTTGGTACCCAGAGCACCTAAACTTCACAATATTGGCACATTAGTACATCACATGTAATAGCCAAGCTTGATATGGTGCCCTCTTATGATACAGTAAGGTTGTACCTGATTGATGTTGTGGTGGTTTAAGTAAGAACAGCCCCCACAGGCTCACATATTTGCAGTTGAAGAACTGTTTGAAGGATTAGGAGGAGCCTTGTTGGATGAAGTGTGTCACTGCAGGTGGCGTTTGAGGTTTCAAGAGCCCATGACAGTTTATGCTGGAGAGGATGTGGAGAAGGGGGAAGACCCCTCCACTGCTGGGGGGAGTGCAAACTCATACAGCCATTTTGGAGATAAGTATGGCGGTTACTCAGGAAAATGGAAATCAGTTTACCACAGTACCGGGCAATTCCCTTCTTAGGCATATACCCAAAGGATTCACATCCATGCAGCAAAGACATCTGTTCAACTATGATCATAGCAGCATTATTTGTAATGGCTAAAACCTGGAAACAACAAGAATGGATAAAGAAGATGTGGTACATTTACACAATGGAGTACTACTCAGCAGGAAAAAAAAAAAAAAAAAAACCAACAACAGTAGAATCTTGAAATTTGCTGGCAAATGGATTGAACTTAAAAAAATCATCCTGAGTGAGGTAACCCAGTCATAAAAAGATGAACATGGTTTGTACTCACTCATATATGGATTTTAGACCTAGAGGCAAAGGATCACCAGCCTATAATTCACACAGCCAGAGAAACTAGGATACAAGGAGGATCCTAAGAGAGTCATACAAGGTCCCCCACAGAAGGGGAAAGGGACAAGATCTCTTGAGCATATTGGGAGAGTGGGGGTGGTAGTGAGTGGAGACGGAGCTAGGAGAAAGAGAAGGGGAGGAGAGGACAGAAGAGGAGAACACAAGGGACCAGGAAGATTGAGTTGGGGGACAAATAGAAGAGAGCAAGAAAAGAGACACCATAATAGAGGGAGCCGGGATAGGTTTGAAGGGAAAACTGGCACTAGGGAAATGTCCAGAGACCTACAAGGATGACCCCAACTAACAATCTGAGCAATAGTGGAGAGGCTAGCTTAAATGCCCTTCCCTGATAATGAGATTGATGACTACCTTCCACGCCATCCTAGAGCCCTCGTCTAGTAGCTGATGGAAACAGAAGCAGACACCCACAGCTAAACACTGAGATGAACTCCTGAAATCCAGTTGCATGTAATTGGGGCTGATAACGTAGTAACCCTCTGGAACTGTAAGCCAGCCCCAATTAAATGCATTCTTTTATAAAAGTTGCTGTGATCATGACACCCTTTCACAGGAGTAGAAACTCTAAGACAGGAATGTTATAACATGCCCTGGGATAAGATATACTGAATGATCATAGCCTGTATACATTTATTTATTTAATAAAAATTTTGAAAAGAAATATTTAAATTTGTGTCTACCCCCAATTTTTTTTTTTTTTTTTTTTTTTTTTTTTTGCCTCCTTATAACTGACTAATTGGCTTGACCAGTAACTAGGATGATTTTCTTATCTTTCCATATATGTAATGGAGTTTAGTGATTCTTTCAGAAGTCGACACTGTCTCTTTAAGACTAGCATTTCCTAGGTACAATTTTCTATCCTCCTTCCCCTTCTGCATTGAATAACTAAGACAATCTTGGTCTCACAGAACCTGCAGGGATGAGAGTAAGAGAAAATATTACTGTTTGGTCTCTCATTAAATCTAGAGCTCACTGACTGACTAGACTAGCTGACCAGTGAGCTCCTGGACTCAACTATCTATGCTCTCCAGTGCTGTGAGTACAAACTGTGCCACTGCAAATAGCTATGTTGTGGGTGTTGGAAATTCAAACCTAGGATGTCATGTTTATGCATCAGCAAACATTTTGCCCAATGAGTCATCCTCTCAGACACCCAACTTTAATGCGATCCAAGAAATTTGAAAAGTGATATTTCAACAGCTAGCAGATGCATGAAAGATGAAGGAAAACATGTTATGGATTGTTTTTATTTGGAACCATCAGTGAAGCATTTAAAATATAAGCCTCCAAAGTATTTTCTATTAATATGATATAAATAATGAACTCATAAAGATTGGTTTTGTTTATGTACACTCAACTGTAAAAAAAAAAAAATAGTAATTTTTTGTAGTGTTTACACCATCAAGCCCAATCAAGCCAAACGGTGAACTGAAATGATTAATGAATGCAGATTTAGCTGAGGGCTTTAAATTGAGGATGGCTTGCTGATGCCAGGGTTGATTAGTTCTCCATCTAACACTGGTGCCATTAAAAGGTTTGGGCAGTTCAGATACAGTTGTTGAGCAAAAGTTCAGTGGCATGACAGAAACTCTATCCGGGTGAATTCTGCTGGTAGAATGGCGGAAATCCATGTGTGCAGGGAGTGAGGCATTATTGATGGGTTGGGGACCAGGAGGCAGAGAGCTGAGCAGCGGCATCAGTCACGGCAGAAGTGACAAAGTTTGGAATTGAAGAAGAGCTCACCTTTGCACAAGGACCCCAGACGGTGTGCCGACGTGGAGACTGGTCATTTCCAGCTTCAGGGTGGTCAGGAAAGTGGGGAAAAATACGCCAGGGGGAGGCAGGAAGTTAACGCAGTGGCATGCCCCGTCACTCTTCTGAGAATGAGTCCACAGGGAAATCACTGTAGCCGGGGCAGAAGCCACCACTTTCCTTTTGAAGGGAACAGAGGCGAAGGTGACTCAGGACCTGAGACCCTGCGTGGGATGATTGGACACCACAGTTCTCCAGGGCCTGCCAAGCAAACTGGAGGATTGAGCCAACAGAACTGCAAGCGAGAATCTAATTGGCTGAAGAGGGCTCTCACTTGTGCTAGAACACCGGGCTGAGTCCAGGCCCAGCCTGTTGTACTGGATTCGAGGGAGTGAAGGTCCAGGTAACTGACTTTTCGGAAGGTAAGTGACAGAGGGAATGTTAAACCATTTCAATGACTGTGCCTTTCAAATGTTTTATTGCTGGTCCAAATGCCCCAACACATTTTAAATGGGAAGGGACAGATACTTTACTGGATTCATGCTTTTTTTTTTTTTCCACCTCCAGCTTTGCCAGGGTCTGAGTGGGGGACATCTGTCAGTGGCTCAGAAGACACTGGAAGGCACCTGTTGTCACAAGGGCTGCTTTGACAACTCCAGGAAAAAGGCAGCAAATAATTTGGACCCCTGTATGTAGTTCCACCTAAAGAAAATGAAGACAAGGCAATGCATTTTCTCCCACACGAAGAAGGAAAAGCAGCCAACCACGGCCACTGAAAAATTGTATGTAGTATAAACCCAGTCAGTCTGAAGTGTTTAGCAAGTTTCTGAGATCTTAGGACCAAAGTCACCTGGTAAATCCAAGAGGAGAATGGCCTCATTATTAAGAAGATGAGATCAACAGGTGTGGTTTTACCTGTCATCCCAGCATTTGGAAAACAGAGGCAAGAGGGTCACTGTTAACCTCAAAGCCAGTTTGATCTACATAAAGCTTTCCAGGCCAGCCAGGGGTGCAGCACAAGATTCTGACTCAGGACAGCGAGCAGAAGAAGGAAGGAGGGGTAGGGGAAGGAAGAGGAGAAAGGAAAGCAGGCAATTGATCTTAGACCCAACCACAGAAATGCCCATTATCTTGTTTCTTGTTTTATCCCGGATCTCGGCCTCTTTGAGTGCTAGGATCCCTGCTCCACACGGCTCTCTTGGGTTTCTCAGAGTTTCTCAGGCTTCCTACTTTTGACGTGACAGGGACTGAAGATTCAAACATTCCCGTTTCTCACTCATTTGGAGGTTCATATGACCTGTCAATATGTTCATACCAAGCACTCCTAAACACCCTTTGTTATGCTCCAAATGTCACAGCCTCCAAGTCCGTATGTCGAAGCCCTGACTCAAAATGAGACAATACTGGAGGGAGGACCTTCCAATTAAATGATGTCAGGGGATGTGCCGTAACCCCATGGTGTGGGTGAATTTACAGGGGGAGAACTCCAGAGCCCCTTGCTTGCCTGCAGGCAGGACCAACCCCTCGCTCCTCACTGCTTGCCTCTCCTCCTTAGCTCTAATTCTGCCACAGGAGGACACGCAGGGAACAGCCTGAGACCAGGCGGCCCCCAGACGAGAGGCACTCTTAGGAGGTGTGGCTGTGCTGGAGGAAGTGTGTCACTGTGAGAGCTGGCTTTGAGGTCTTCTGTGCTCAAGCCACACCCAGTGACACAGTTCACTTCCTGCTGCCTACAGATCAAGATACAGAACTCTGAGCTCCTTCTCCAGTACCATGTCTGCCTGCGTGCTTCCGTGTTCCACTGTGATGATAACGGACTAATGTTACGAGCAGTTTTCCAACAGCCGCATCAGCCCCAAATAACACACAGAGATGCTGTATTAGATATAAAGCTGTTACTAGTGTTTCTTATTGGCTGGCTCTGTCTTAAATATTAACCCATTTCTATCAATCTAAGTATTTCCACGTGGTCTTGCCTTACTGGAGAAAGGGACCCCAGACCTCTTTCACCTCTTGGTCCTACATTTTGACTCTCCTACTACATCTCCCAGAATCCTCCTTGTCTCCTTGTCCCACCTATCTTGCCTTCCCGTTTGCCAACAGTGCTTTATTCATTAACCAATAAGAGAAGCATGTTCACAAAATGATCTCTCCCATCAGACTAAACCTCTGAAACTGTAAGGCAGCCCCAATTAAATGTTCCCCGGTATAAGAATTGCTATGGTCATGGTGTCTCTTCACAGTGATAGAAGCCCTAACCTGGCGTTCCCAGCCTCAGGTCTCTAAGCCACCAGGTCTCTTGCTGTCCATTCTCACACAAGGCTAGCAGACAGGCCCACAGGGAACTCCCCACCCTCACGGGGTCCACTCACCTGTTAATCTTCTCATTCTGAGAGTGTTCTCCATCATCCACAGCTCCCAACGGGAGCATCATTACACTCTTTTGTGTAATAGTTTGGAATAACTTAGCAATTGGAATGGTTGACCCATCCTGGATCATGTCAGGATCTACTCCAAACACTGAAATACAGGAAAAGGAGGAAGTAGAATAAATCACAACACTTTTCAAGACAGGGTTTCTTTGTGTAGCCTTGATTGTCCTGTAACTTACTCTGTAGACCAGGCTGGCCTTGAGCTCACAGACATGTACCTGCCTCTACCTCCCAAGTACTGGGGTAAAAGGCACATGCCACCACTGCCAGGCTTTACAGTGATACATTTTATCTACCAATCTTGTAAAACGTTTCCTGGGAAGAGGTGAAAAGAAACATTTGTTCACTCTAGCCAAGGCACCAACACACCAAAGAAAAACAATTCCACTCAACTGTAGCTTGGCGTCCACATGAGTTCAATTACTGTTAGTTGCAAGAGCATGGACAAGTTGCAGGCAGCTATTCCACCAAAGAAAAATCTCTCCTTACACCAGGAATTGTTAACCATTAAATCTACTCATGGAGGAGCATGGCCCCTTACATCCACAGTGAAGACTTCCTGTTGGACTACTGCCTGCTGTAATCCCCCTTTTACTGGTGGTATATGAGCTGAAATATCCCATCCTTCCTCCCCTGCTATGATGGACTAAACTCTCTGAAACTGTGAGACAAAGTAAATCCATTCCTTCCCAAGTTGTTTCTTCCAGGTACTTTTCATGGTGATGAAAAAGATAACTACCATAGTTATCTTTCACAAATTACTTCATCTCTGTAAGCCTTCATTTCCTCTGTAAACTGGAGAAGGCCGTTACAGGGAAATAGCATCCTGTGCACATGATGCTGAACCCTGCGTGATGGTCCACCTCGGTGGTCAGCCTGCCTGCTGATCTGGAATCAACTAAAAAGCAAACCATGGGGCATGTTTGAAGGGCATTCCTAACAGGTCACTTGAGGTGGGAAGACCCACCCTAAAGGTGGATGGAGGCAGCTCAGCTCGGACGAAGAAGACAGAAGAAGGGATTACTTCCTCCTGGCAAGTTCATCAATGCCTCTGCTTCTCTTTCCCCTGCTAATGTCAGAACCCAGCCCTTTGAGCTTCCAATGTGAAGTGAAGACCAGTAGCTCTGCAGGAGTCTTCCGGGCCCTAAGCACCAAGTTAGTACCCAGCCTTAGGGACCGAGCAGCTCTTGCATTCTCGGCCTCTCCAATGTCAGGCCGCCATTGTCGCAATGCCCAGACTTCGTCATGAAAGGCAGCCAAGTAGATCCCCTTTTAATGTGTATTCATTCTACTGCTTCTGCCACTCTAGATAACTAATACACCTTGGATAAAGAGGACAGTTGATATCTGAGAATTAAAAAGTGTCTTGGCCCAGCTGAGAATAGGTGAATCACAGTATCTGTGTGGCCCACCTGTTTTGATGGCCCTTTTTGCTGCAAGATACTGAGTATCGTTGATGTTAGCAGACCATGGATGGAGTCCTAGTACCATAGAGACAGCCATCTTGTTGAAACTGTTTCTTTTGTCGAACACAGCTTCCAGATGTTGCCTCACCTAGAAGGTAACACTTGACACTCTCAATAACAAGTAGAACGCTGGGCTTTGCCCATGCAGTGTCCTGTGCCTTCCACCCAGAAACCAGAGGGAACTCTGAAAAGCAGGGGCTTCCAAGGCTATAGGCTTTACCCAGAGGGGAACTATGTGCTTTAGTTGACCTTTAATCCTTGAACCCGCTCAGTCCCTGATCCATAGTGGTATCTGAGCAGTGTTTGCTGGAAATTATGAAACATAATCCAAATGCAGCTGCTCAGCTGTATTTTTGATCTAGTAACGCTCTAAGGAACATACGGAGGACATTATACATCCCATGAAATTCTGAAAAGTGGGAGCAATTCCGAACTAAACAATGAAGGAGACATTGTAAAAGCTTGGTGTATGTACGCCTTCCCAATGAGGGCTGAGGAAATCCTCCCAGGAGGCTGCAGCCTCCAACACATAGCTTCCATTTATCCTTACAGGAAGGGCCAAGGTGTTGGGGGTGTAGCTGCAAAAATTAAAGAGACAAAGAAGTTTATCTGTAAGATAAAATAGTGGTGTTTCCAAAAGGGAGGGAAGCAGCGGGGGGGGGGGGGGGGGGGGAAGGACAGAGGGAAGAGGGAGGGAGATGTTTGGACCCCAAGGCAAGGGCAGAGGGCAACAGAGCCTGGGGAGGGTGTGGAGGCATTTCCTCAGCTCCCTCTCAAGAGTCTGCTTCCTGTTAAACCAACTCTAGGCGAATTAATAATGGGATGGTAACTGAGAAAGATAACTCCTTCCAGATAGTACTTTCCTTGCGATGGCTGCTTTCCACACACTAGTTTCAAACATCATAACGTAACAAATGATCAGGCTTGAGGTTTCCCAGCTCCAGCCAAGTGTAGCCAATCCGACTCCATCCCCATGTAAAACCAATCTGGCCTTTATAGCTAACTTCTAATTTTTAAAAATTTTCCCATCATTGCGACTCCAAGTGGCTATTTGTCTGGCTTCTGTAACTGGGGAAAGAGATTTGCACTGAGTAAGGCTGATGCTGGCTTCTTGACATCTGGCCCATTCTTTTGTACTGGGGAAGAAAAAAAATGAGGCTTCTGTAATAACCACAGAACTGCTCCGTTTACCATGGTATATGGGACTATGAAATGGTACTGCTGGGCCTAGGGGCAACAGCCACTTGTTACCTGTTTTTCCACCACAGACAGATTCATGTGAGGGACCAGGCGGATGGAAAATTTTCCTATGACTCGGCCAGGGATGACTGTTTTAGTTCCAGGCTCATCAAACGCACCCTCGATGCCGTGGATGGAGAGAGATGGATACCTCCATAGGTGCATCAGGAGTTCCTCCTAAACCATAAAGAGAACATATGACTAAAGCTCAGTACAGGGCTACATACGGTGCTTGCCTAGCATGTCCAAGGCCCTGCATTCAGTCCCCACACCACAGGATCTGGGGCTGGTGGCAGACGTCTTTGTTGGGAGGTGGAGGCAACAGAGTCAGGAACTCCTCGTCAGCCTTGGCTCCTGAGTGAGTAAGAGACCAGCCTCAGCTAGGAGAGATCCTGTCTCAAAAGAAAAGCTAAGCAAAGCAAACAAAATGAGCCAGGCGTGTTTGCACACACCTTTAATCCCATCACAGAGGCTCTGTGAGTTCAAGGCCAGCCAGCCTAGTCTACATAGTTTCAGGCCAACCAGGGATACATTGGGAGATCTTGTCTTAAATCAAATAAATAATAGAAAGATAAGTAAATAAGTGAATGGGAAAAAGGATTAGGGAGATAGCTCAAGAGTAGAGCACTTGCTTAAAATGCACAAAACCATTCCCCTAGCCTGGCAAACCAAACAGACCTCCGCTGAATTAGATTTTGCTCAGACCTCCAACCTCTGTGTACCTGAGACCCACTCATGACAAATTACTTAGCATCGAGTTAGCAGTGTCTGTACTACTAATATAGGCTGCTGCGCTGCCCAGAACTTCTTCCTGTCTGAGGGGCCAATGGGGTGACTGGATGAGTGCAAGCACTTGCCACAGAAGCCTGGCAACCCCCGTGTAATCCCCAGAGCACAAGTAAAACAGTCAGATGTGGAGGGACACATCTGTAATCCCAGCACTTCTGTAGGAATACGGGCAGAGATAGCTCATAGGCTAGCCTGGGGTATGCAGAACCAACACGCCTCAGCAAGGCAGAGGGAGAGAACCGACTCCTGAGAGTTGTCCTTTGGCTCCATGTCACACACACACACACACACACACACACACACACACACACACACACACACACACACACGACGATGATGATGACTTAAAAAGAACCTGGATCCAATTACAAACTAACCAGGATTATACGCTGAAAATGAACATAGCACATTTCATTACTCAGAAATCCCTAAACAAACGTTCAGTATTCGAGCCAATTTCTTTCTTGTGTATTTTCACAAGCTTAATCTGAGGGAAGACGCGCCGTGCCACAGAGAAAGCCGTATCACTTCCTGCCATCACAGTTTTGCCTCCTCTGCACAGTTCCTGGGGAATCAACCACAGTCACCAAAATCTGAAGCAGGAAAGTGAAGGGGGTAAACTACACTCAAAGGCTTCACTTCTAATAAGCACACTGGGGAGAAACTGTATAAACGTGACAAAGCCTGAAGTTCCCATACTGAAGAAAGATGAAGGGACCAGACCCTCACTCAGGTCTCTGCTTTAGCAGCCATGACAGGCTACGGAAAAGAAACGTAGGCCTCTGACTCAGCACATGACACAAAGAAACTTCAGGTGCCCTGGCCTCCCGGAGTCTAGGGCGGAAACAGAACACAGAGAAACTCCAGACACCCCTCCACTCCCAGCCTCCTAGATACTTTGTTCCTGGGAACTGTACCGTCACAAAAGAAACTCCAGGGGAGACCAAAACCTCCCCTGTAGTCTCCAGGGTACAGTTCTGAACACTATTGGTATCTATGAACAATAGGCCACCTGCAAGAAACAAGACAAAGCCATAGAAACCACAGAATGTCCCCTCTCAGCACTGACCAATGAGAATAATTGGTACACAGGTATTTCATGCAAAAATATGACTTTGAGAAATCCCCCTGATTGTTCCCCTAATGTCAACCAATGAGAAACCAAACTACAGATGTCACCCTGTGACTTTTGCCTTTAAAAACCTGACAGTAGACAGGGAACTCGCTTCCTCTGGTGGCTGCTGCATCAGCCAGCTTCACGAGGTCCCTGTCATGGTTGGATGGACAATAAACCTTATGCATTTGCGTCAGTGGGCCTGTCTCCCTGCTGGTCTCCTTGGGGATCTTCACGACTTGGGCACAACAGAAAGCATTTTAAAGATCTTCTTTTTATTAGTTACTCTGTGTGTGTGTGCATGTGCGTGTGTGTGCGCGCCTGTGTGTGTGTCTGTGTGTCTGTGTGTGCGTGTATCTGTGTGTGTGTCTGAGTGTGTGTCTGTGTCTGCGTGTGTGTGTGTATCTCTGTGTGCGCCTGTGTGTGTGGCTGAGTGTGTGTGTGTGTATGTGTGTCTGCGTGTGTGTGTGTGCGCGTGTATCTGTGTGTGTGACTACTTGTATGCGCGTGAATGTGGTACAATGCCTAATGAGACAAGAATAGAAGAGAATAACGTGTTAGCTCCTGAGAAGTAGAGTTACAGTGGTTCTGAGCCACCCAATGTGCGTGCTGAAAACTGAGCTCAGGTCCTCTGCAAGAGCAATGCAAGAGTAAGCCCTCAGCAGGCAAAGTATTAAAAAAGAGAGAGAGAGAGAAAGAAAATGAACAAAACCTTTAAGTCCTTCAGGAATTTCTGCCCTGAGTTCTAAGTTTCTTCACAGCTCACAGAAGGGAATGCTCTGGCTTGCCCATCAGCCCTGAATGGTTTTGATAATGCCTGAGAAATAGTGTTGCCTGAGAAAGAGATTACAGGTGTTAGAGCCAGTGTCTCAGACAGTGACTCCCGATATTTGAACATTCAGAAAGTTCAGCTTCCTGACAGGAAGTGGAATGGGATTTAAATTAATAAAGAGCTGTGGGAAGACCGCCGTCGACTGCGTCATTATTCATGGTTAAATGCCTGAAACCTGCACCGACTGCTGTGGCTGGGAATATCAAAATCTGCCTGGGATTTAACCTTTGCCTTGTGTTCTACAATGTCAACAGTGTGGCGCCACTTAGCCCCCAGGAAATGTGATTTGAGAACAGCGGTCCTCTTTCAGATCATGTAGGCATTTAAGATTATAGCTTGGTATCACCGGGTGGTGGTGGCGCACTCCGGAGACAGAGGCAGGTGGATCTCTGTGAGTTCCAGACCAGCCTGATCTACAAGGGCCAGTGCCAGGACAGGCTCCTAAGCCAAGGAGAAACCCTGTCTTGAAACACCAACAACAACAAAAAAAAGATTATACCTTGGTATCAAAGAGAAATTTCTCAACTTGGCTGCTCTTCTGGTACTCTTCCAGATTCAGATCAATATTTTTATACATTTCCTTTTCCTCCTCTGTAAGAGGAGCCATTTGATCATAGATTCCAGGAATCAGGATGTGGCCTGATGCATCCACCAGACTACCTACAAAACAGATGTAGAAATTAACATGTGCCAATGCCGGGCTCCTGGAGCCAGGCCACATAGGACTCTCCTCTGTGGCAAATCAATCATGACTGCAACTGTCCCCTGGCCAGAATCAGTGGCAGCAATCCCTTTACTCAGGAGATTATGGTCCCAAGAAGGAGGTGGTCACAAGGCAGGCTCAGCCCTAAGGGCAGAGCTGAGACATAGGTCTGCAAAAAGTTAAATTCTCAGCCATGCTATACCTTTTGTTTCACAAGCAAGCCTCCTGTTTGCATTTTATCTTATCCTGAGTTAAGAAGTAGTAGATATAAATTATTAAATAGTTGAAACATATGCATATATTTTACATATGCATACATACAAACTTGCACAAGAAAGTGAAACTTCCCAAAATATTTTCTCAAGTTCCCCCTACACACACACACACTCACACATACACATTAAAAAAAAAAAAAAACATATCAAAGGCAAATTACAATCAGGAAGTTCATTGATGCAACTCACACAAAAGCAATCCAGCTTCGGACATTCATTCAAGGGAAGGCATTTCATAAGTGTGTGTTCTGTGTTATTAATATGGTCATAATTGGCCATTACCAGGGTAGGAACCTTATACTCCGAAGCACTCTGTTTTACAATCATTAAGTCAGAAGTGGCAGGTGACTGTCATCCTAACCCTGGGCTGAGGCAGGAGAATGGCTAGCTTGAGGAGAGCCTAGATACACAGCAAGGCTTTATGTCAGTGCCATCAACCACAAGGCACTTAATAAGAATGGATACCGATGCCTTAACACTGCGTAAACACACGCTCTGCTCTAGGTGCTGGGATACCAGAAGATGCCTGCCACCTTCGGTTACTAGGACACCACCTCTCACAAAGTCATAGCCTCACGAGACAGGATCTCTGGTTCCATGTAGACACAATGAAAGCCAATAAATACTTGACAAAGTCTACCAAAGGACAGCAGTTTCCCATGGCAGTAAGCCAAACTTGAGGTGCAGAGCTCGTGGGGGAGGAGTCAGGGCTCTGTGATTCATCAGCTCCTCCTCCGGCCTCTCCTGTCCACAGAGCTTCCCCATGACTTCAGTTCCTTCTATACCTGTACTACAGCAGAGCACTGAAGACTGCACTGTGTATCAGTATGGTTCAAACCCATGAACCCTCTTCAGGGTTAGACACGAAGAGGTGCTGGGGGCTGGGGGTGAGAAATACTCAGTTCAAACAGGGCTTACTGTACAAGCGTGATGACCTACGTTCAGATCTGCAGCGCCCATACAGAAGCCAGATACGTATGGCAACACACTTACAATCCCAGCACTCAAGAGAAGGAGACAGGGGCTCCCCAGGGCAAGCCGACGAGCTCTGGGTACAACAAGGGACCCTGCCTCAGTGAGTCAAGAGCAGTGAAGGAAGACAGCTGATGTTAGTTTCTAGTATGCACACACACACACACACACACACCCCTCACATACACAATCATGAATATGCACATGTACATAAACCCCACGCACATAGGTAATAGATAGCTAGACGATAGATAGATAGATAGACAGACAGATAGATAGATAGATAGATAGATAGATAGATAGATAGATAAGCAGACAGACAGATGCTGAAGGATTGGTTGGGTCTGGCTATTACTGATTTGTAGTATATTTTACCAAAAACAAAAGCACCACAAACAATACAATCACAAAATCTTCCTTGAGCATGCATCCCTAGGCTTTTTATTAAGCCTCCAAGGACAGATGGGAGAAAATGTGTGACATGGGCCCTGTTCATAATTCTAGCCAGAAAGCCACCTCTGAAGAGGAATGACCACACAGGAGGAAGACCCACATGGAGCCAATGAGGCCTCATGGCCAGGATGGGTAGCTGATCCAGGGAGGTTTCGTGCACAAGATAGAAACCATCTCACGCTGAAACCTTTTATAGAACTGGGCAGGGCTTGCGTTGTCTTGGTGCTTTTGACAAATAAACCTGAGTACTACCGGCATCAAAATCTGACCAACCCAAGGAACCAGGATGCTGGACAGTGCTGTTCCTTCTGTGAGGTTGGTGGTAACTAACTCTGATGTCCCCAGTGGACCATGCTGGGGTTTGAGCATAACTAGCTCTCTTGGCACACACTTCATCTTAAAATTGTAAAGCTGGTTCGGCATAGCCACCTTATCCCACTAGCAGTTGGGAGAAATGTCAGTTAGCATTCATGTTGACTAAGGAAAGATGTTTTATCCATCCTTGTAGTTCACTCAGTAAAATCTGATTAGGAAGAACCATGGGGTCTCCGTCAGCAACTGGGGAATGTTAATTTCTGCTATTAAGAAGTAACTGCATTAGGGAGATAAATGGTTCTTCATCCCTGGTACATTTGCCCATCAGGAAGATCCTCCCTCCCCTCCTGCTCTCTTCCCGTGTACATAACCATCCTGGGCACACAAAGCCGCTTTGGATGGAGGCAAAGGAAGCTTCCTTGGAAGCCCCCACTGGAGACACCATTGCTCCTAGGAACACCTTAGAACTTTGACATTCTAAACTATATTAGATACTATGTATCTGTAACGCCTTTGGCAGCCAGGCATGGTGGCTCATACCTCCTTGGAATCTCAATACTTGGAAAATGAGGGAAAGAAGATTCTGAGAGCTCACAGTCAATCCTGTCTCAAAAGATCAGAAAAATGGGCTGTAGCTGGGGTCCTGAGGCTCTGAGTTTCATCTCCAGTACTGCATGAGCCAAGCAAGGCAGTACATGCTGTAATAACAGCACTGTGGCAGGAGAGTCAAGAGTTCAAAGCCATCCTTGGATACATATTGTGTTGGAGACCAACCTAGGCTATAAGAGACCCTGTCTACAATCAAAACCAAAACAAACCAAAAACAACAAAAAACAAAACAAAACAAAGAAACAGTGGAAAGAAAGAAGTACTCTTGTCTTTCTAACTGTCCTCATGACCCATAAAAACTGCAGAGTAGAAAAATTGGAAAGAAGACGCCATTGGTGGTTGGAGATTTATTTGTGAGCACAAACATTCCATTCTTTTCCACTCCCTGTCTACCCAGCCTGTGAACTTTTCCTTCTTACTCAATCCTAGGGTGTCCCCCTGGCAGAGTTTATCATCGGCTTTATGCACTTTGTGTTCAGTGAGCATTTGTTACTGTTAATCACCGACATCTTGCAGGCATGATGATGGATGATGAAGGGCATGCCAACATCATGCCAGCAGAGGATGATGAAGGCACAAGGGCAGAGAGTTCAAAGCTGTCAGCAAGTCACAAGACCTAAAGGTCAAAGGTGTGACTACAGTAGGATGTTTCAGCCATCTTAGTCTAAATAACATCAGACCTGAATCTGAGGTGTGGCTGGCTACTCCTGACCTCAAGGCTAAGGAAGGAGAATTTAAATCTGAGGTATGGATACTCCTGACCTCAAGGCTATGGAACAAGAAGTTTAGAGCTAGGGTGTGGTTAGCTAAGGTGTGGAATCAGTGAGGAAGAAAAGTCTGTTCCATGATACTGTGTTCCCCTTTTTAGTTATGGTATATAAGAGTGGTGAAAAATAAACTCGTGGCATTCCAGTAGTGACTGATCTGCCCTCCTGACCTTTATTCTGTCTCTCTGTCTTTCTTTATTGTCTATAGCTAGCCTTTCCCTCATCCACACTCCACCACTGAGGTATGGACTTGGGGCAGCTCAGCTGGCTCCAATTACAACCCCACAAAGACTGCTCCCGACAAAAAATAAATAAATAAATCCATGAAAAGAAATAATACATAACATAGGCTTGGGTGATATTTTTCTTATGGTACACATACACACTGTTTCAGAGCTGATTCAGAAACCAGAGGAGCAGAGGCCAAGGAGACTAAATAGAACTGATGCTCACAAAACGGAGTAGAAACATTACCTAGAAGAGCAACCAAATCAGCCATTGGTTCATTGAGGATGCCACCAAAGGTCCCAGAATGGAAATCTTGATCTCTACACTTTACCTGTAAAGTAGATAATAGAGTAGCCATTTACCTACTGCCTTGGTTCCTAAGCCGATGGGATCCTTCAGGACATGGGTGGTAACCTCCAGACCCGACCTCAGGTCTCACGTCTCTCAATCAAGTGACTTCGAGGCTCCACCCTTTTCTGTTTTAAACTAACTTCACTCCCCAACTGCCCCGCCAGCACAATTCTATCAAGATGACCAGATATTCCCTGGCTGAATTATTGCTGTTCACAGAGTTGGTTTACTCTTGGCTTAGTGCCAAGTTCCAGTAGGGTCTCTTACAGGCCATCATTTTGTTGTATGTAAGCTTTCTTCCTACCCAGCAGGGTGGGACAGGAAGCCAAGAGAAAAACAAGCTGATCTACTGTTTTTACTCTCTATCTACCTGAGACCTTGTCAAGAGAGACTAATCCCTTCCCTGGCACATGACCTCCTCCTCAGAGTCTCCGGGCAATCGTCTTTCCCTTGCCTTGGAAGGTTCTCGGAAAGTCTATGTTCCTTCCAGCCATGAATCCATCTCTCCTTCACAGCCACGTTTGCTGGCGTTCCAACTTCTGGCTTCCTTTTTTCCCAGAATTCCCACATCATTTCCCTCATTAAGGGTGGACTCTTTACAGAAAACTCTCTGGAAACTGAGGCTGATTTGCTCCGTCTTTTGTTCATGGGATTCATACCACCAAATTTAACAGAGGGAACATATTGTTTTCTTTTTTCCTCTCCTCTCCACTCCCCATCCACCTCCTCCTTACTCCCCACCCCCTCTCTCCCAAAGTGCCCAGATGGAACCTGGAGCCCCACACAGACTAGACAACCGAGTCTAGTCTGCAGATTATAATTTCAAAAACATTACAAAGATGCACGATATTTCTATCTGGTTCATAACACTTATGTCCCCTAAGTGCCTGGGTTTGTGTGCATCCTTCACATCAATTAGTAAATCTACAGCCTGCTATGAGAGAAAGCTGAAGTGGCTAACAATCCTCCCGGGGAGTGGGGGGACTTTATTATAGTTTGTATTGCTGTCACAGGTTGCCTATATTACTGAAAACTACTTGAAAGGAGGAATAATCTTGGGATGGGATAAGGAGACCTCACCAACTGTAGAGAAGGAAAACTAAGGCTCGGAGATAAAGACATCTACACAAGGCTGTGTGTCACAGAATGATGCCCTGATGCCATCAGCCTCTATTCCAATTTGAACATAGCACTAGGGTTCCCTGTCACCAAGGCCTCTGCAGGCAAACAATCAGAAAGGTTACAAAATGCTATCCTAGCATCTGACCAAGTATCCATCCTGCTTTCAGATCCCAGACCCACAGTTCTGGAAGAAACATCTGAGACTTTATGCACCCAAGCATATTCACTCTAAGATTGCAGGAGGTATGTGAACCACACTCCCAAGCCCCAAGACTTCTGTGACCACTTGGGGCTGTGGGCCCCAAGTGAGAGCTTCCTGACTTCCTCTTTACGGCCCCCAATAATTCCTCCATCCTATCCACAGTCCCAATCTCCCTCCGGTAGAGCCTGCTGGTACCTCCACCATGAAGTAGCAGTTCCCGCGGGTTCCATAAGTGAGTGCCGGCTTCTTCTGACTGATCCACAGATTGTCTGAAATCACTATGTAGTTCACACTGGAGAAGAAGTGGTCCTTTTCTCTTTTGACCAGCTCCTCCAGGGCAACAGATCCAGCCTCCTCCATCCCTTCCAGGATGAACTTGATGTTCACGGGAAGATCCTGGATTAACAGAACAAGGAGCCTGTACAGGATGCTCAAGCAAGGTTTTATTTATAAGTTTGCCTTTAGTAAAGATACATCAGTCATCTGTATTCAACGTGTGGATTGTTTACCATCACAGCAGTTGTGTTTACAGGAGCAGAGGAGAACAGCCGATAGATTCCATGTGTCGCTTTGGTATAATGCTAGTGCAGAATTTAGAACAGAGTATTCTAAAGACAGCAGCACACAGGACTCTAGGCTTGACATACCGAGCTTTAAGAAGTTGGGGTGGAGGGATGGGACAGTGTGGTGATATATTATTTATGATTTATTGTCTGAATATCAGAATGCAAAGCCAGCCTCACTAGTTAGCTATAGAAGCTAGGCAGTGGTGGCACACTCTTTTACTCCCAGGACTCAGGATGGATCTCTGTGAGTTCATGCCACCCAGGACTACAGGAGAGTTAATCAGTTTAAAAGATTAACAGAGCCCATGCCTTTAATCCCAGCCCTAGAGAGCTATACAAAAGACAAGAAACCAGGGCTACATTCTGAGATTTAGTCCCCAGCCATGCGGAGGAGAGGCAGCAGTCTGAGGCTTGGTGGAGATACAAATCAATGTGATAGCTACTTAGCGTGGGGCCGACAGCCGAAGTCTGCTGCTCAGGGTACCTGTGACAATCCAGGGTGAACTGTGTCCCTTTTCAGAGGCTCGTATCTCTGAGATGAGAACCAGCATTAATGGTTACCCTGCCTCTTAGTGAGATGATGTGCCGAGGGGACCTGTGCTTGAGCTCTCTGAGAGCAAGGCAGAAGAAACGGGGGAGAGGTCACCATAAGAGGCGTGCAGCTGCCTCTTTGTGTTTGTCTACTTGTGATGGAGTCTCTCCACGCAGGCCAGGCTGTTCTGAAGCTCACAAGCCTCCCGAGGACTTGCATTCCAGGTGTGTATTACCACATCTGGCTTGAAAATACCTCTTCATCTGGTTTCCCCCACAAGCCTATGTGGTGGAAGTTGCCGTTCCTGACTTACAGGTAAGGGAAATGAGGCTCGGGGAGGTTAAGAGGCGTGTCCAAGGGCGGCAGTGGCTATTTCTTATTTGTTTGTGTTTATATAATTTATATAATTGAAAAAAAGCAAAGACCGTAATGGTCTTTATATGGTCACTTCCCTATAAATATTGGGAAAGGTCTAGATGGGTCAAACCGCTTGCCCGTGGCCACACAGCAGATTCAGCCCTCTTTGCAAGTCTAAGCATAAAACAGAAATGGCTGCAGACAATAATGATCTCAGGCAGCCGGGAAGAGGGGACGCCTCCTCAAAGCCCCTCCCCTATCCAGCTCCCATAACCGTATAAGGAAGGACACCTGTGGGCAAATAGCCGGTCTTGGGCAAAAAGTGCAGTAGACTCAGGCAGAGGCTCAGGTAACAGAGTCCAGTTCATGGTATGTGTGTCACTGTCAGCTAAGCCATGGCTATAGTGACGAGGAAGATTAAAGATTAGACAAGGTAGAGTTCTTGGAAGCACAGCCCCTAGACACCTCAGTCTCGTGCCTTTCTGTCATGTTTAGCCCGTGATGCATTTGTGCACATCCCCTCAACCACACATGCTTATGTGGGGAACAGAGGTCAACCTCAAATGTTTTCTTCTAGTGCTCCCCACTTCATTTCCTGAAAGAGTCTCTCACTGAATATTTACCGAGGCTGGCTAACCAGCAACCTTTCAGGGTCTGCCGGTCTCCAGGACCCTAGCTCTGGAATTGCAGGCATGAGCCACCACATGCAGAATTTTACAACGGGCGCTGGGAGTCTGAACTCATGTCCCGGTACCCACTGAGCCATCTCCCCAGCACTGTGCTCTGGGTTTCTTGTTCATTTGTTTGTTTTTGCTGTGTGTGTGTGTATACAAATACTACAGCACACACACACACACACACACACACACACGTGTAGAAATCAGAGAGCAGCTTGAAGGAGTTGGTTCTCTCTTTCCACTGTGTCCTAAGAATCAAAATCAGGCTTGGCAGCAAATGCTTTTTTTACTTGTCCAGCCAGCACATCAGCCCCATGCTCTGTTTTTAATGTGGTTGACATTGTAGGCTTGAATCCACGGATCATTGTTCTCTGGCTGGCTTGCTCTGAGTAACTTCTCTGCGTTTCCCAGGTGTAAGGAATGACATCTCCCATCACCCAGGGTTCTACTTTTCTCTCTAAAATGGTTGTGACGATAAAATCACTCAAGTTTGTGGCGCATGAGTTACCCCTGTGCAGTGTCCTGAGGACAGGGAAAGCAACTCAAAGTGTGCTGTTACTGTAATTGCCTTGCAGCCACCACCCTCTCCCTCAAGCACGGCTGGCCACCTACCTGCTCCAGAGCTCTGAAGGAACCCACAGCATTAATCCAAGCCAAGACAGGGCCTTTGTTGTCTGTTGCACCCCGTCCATAAAGTTTTCCTTTAAGCAATGAAAGAAGAAAGTTTCAAAACACTATACATCTGCCTAGTTACATGAGTTACATGAACTCAACTTTTGAGATAAAAGAAAATCCATATCTGGGTTAGAAATTTCTACACAGCCAAATGACTGAACTTTGAGATTAACTAACTAATATGAGTTAAAATGCTGCAGGCCAAAACTAGACTATGGGGCTATTTTTATAATCCTGTTGGGATCCATTTGTTCCCGGTCCCCCTACAACATCCTGTGACCTCCAAAGTTTGGAGAATATACTCTGAGTAGACCCCCTAAGTTTTGCCAATCAAAAGGCAAAGCATGTCATCAGATGGCATCTAAAACCTATATCGATTTTCCCCTTGACTCACCTACCCGTGGACTCTGCCAATATATTTGGCAACTGTGGTGAGGTTTTTTTTTTTTTTTTTTTTTTTTTATTCTTTGACTAATAAAATCTCATGGAACTGTTTCCACAGTGGAACGTGTCGTTTTGAGAAATGTGAATCTGTGTTCCTGAGACATAGTCACTCATATTCGGCTCCAGAATAATCTGTCTTCTAAAAAAAAATTGAAATTTTACAACTTTATATGTGTGGGTATTGTTTCTCCTGCTTGTATGCCAAGAGCCCTGGAAGGCCAGGAGAGAGAATTGGATCAGCTAGACCTAGAGATACACATGGTCGTGAACTGCCGTAAGGGATGAGAATCAAACCCGGATTCTCTGGAATAGCAACCTTGCTCTCAAGCACTAAGCCGTCTCTCAACACACAGAATGGACCGTCTTTGATTCCCTTTTAGATGAGAGCTGTTTTTTTTTTTTTTTTTTTTTTTTTGTTATTAATAGCTAAAATAATGTTTCATGACAGTAATCTCTAATATTCCAGATGTTATGTTAAGTCTTGACTTTGAAATTACAAACTGTATGATGGGGATGGTGCAAGCCTGTAATTACAGCATTTGGCATTGGGTAGGAAAAACCAGTCCAAGGTCAACAATTGACTATCAAGCAACTTCAAGGCCAGACTGGGCAACTTGAGACAATGTCTCTAAAACAAAAGCAATACAAACAAAAGGAATGCCAAGCATAATTTCTTCTGTACAAGTAGGGCGCTCAGCACCAGTAATATAAAACAAGCTGGTCCAAACACCCACATCTCACTAGTCTTGGAAGAACAGAGCTGTTTGTCCAAGTTCCTTGATAATCCCAAGGCTTTGTTGCAGTACAGCACACAGCATAGTCTCTCATGCTGAGATTTTTCTATGGGAAGAATAATGAAATAGAGATGTCTGTATATCTCTGCATTAACATTTCATCTTCCTTTCTTCACAAAATGCACATTAGATCTGCTAAAAAGAAAAGCTGTGATCCAGACAACCGTTCCTTTTGGCTAAGAACTCCAACCCCCAGGGTCACAAAGGCACCAAGTTCATAGTTTCTTCCACAATGAGTGCCACTGATATGAAAACAGGATTTCTCTCAGTCTCTCTCTCCCGTGTGTGTGTGTGTGTGTGTGTGTGTGTGTGTGTGTGTGTGTGTGTGTGATCAAATCTAAGATCTGATGTATATAGGATAAGGACTTTACTACTGAGCTATATCCAGGCCTCTTTTTTATACTTTTTCTTTTGAGACACGGTCTCGATCAGTTGCCCAGACTTGCCTCAAATTTATTTTGTAGCAAAGGTTTGGCTTGAAGCTGTGATCGATTTTCCAGCCTCCTGAGATGCTGAGTATAGTTCTGCACTATCAGACCTAGCCCCTGCTCATTCTTAGCCATAGCTAAAGACCCAGGACAGTCATTGACCTTGTGCCCGAGCCTTGACTGCAGGCAGGCTCCACCTAGAAATCAGATGACACTGACCATCCACCTCTGTGAGCGTGTAGGGGTCCGTGAGCCACCCATCATCCTTCTGAGCTGGCTGCACATCCAGGTGCCCATAGAAGCACACGGTGGGCTTCTTGGGATCATTCCCCAGCTCAGCCAATACGATGGGAGGTATGGGAAGACTGTGACCATCAGGGATCTGTGGGGAAGTGGGTCACAGCATTAAAACAAGCAAACAAAGAAAACCCACTCCAACTCTTCCAGAACATCTGGGACAAGAGACTTGTCTTCTTTAGTCCCTGTAAAGCCTGCATCGTTTTTCTGAGCATCTCTTTCCCCATGACTAAGGTGCACACAATGGCTGGCTATGGTGATGCATGATCTGAATCCCAGGACTAAAGAGCTGAGGCAAGTAAATGTGTATGCATTTGAACCAGCCCAGTCTGTAGAGTGAATTTCTAGGCCAGCCAAAGCTAAATGGTGAGATTCTGTCTCAAATAAATAAATAAACAAATGCATTTTTAAAAAAAAGTATACAGTGGTATGCTTCCAGTGTCTATATAAAACATCATTGGAATTAAGATTATCATTAATTATCAGGTATACAATGCCAAATAATACAGTTATTTGCACATATTCTTCAGGGACTCAGATGGCTTAATTAAAGCAGCAGATTTTCCAAATCATGGAAATCTTTGGCGAGTCTGAAGTTCTCAATGGTAAAACAGGAGATACTGGATGCTTTGGTGCAGATCTGGACCCATGGTAGATGGGCAGTTCTAAGCAACGGTTCTGTGCTGGCTGGCTTTATGTTAACTTGTCCCAACTAGAACCATCTGAAAGGAGGGAATCGCAACTGAGAAAATGTCCCCTTAGGCTCCAGCTGTAGGGCATTTTCTTAATTAGTGATTGGGGAGAGAGGATCCAGCCAGCCCATCATGGGTGGGGCCAACAATGGGCTGTTAGTCCTGGGTGGTTCTGAGTTCTATAAGAAAGCAGACTGAGCAAGCCATCAGAGAACAGCCAGCAATAACTCTGAGCTCCTGCCCTGACTTCCTTTGATGATGAACAGTGTTGTATAAGTATGAGCCAAATAAACCCTTTCCTTCCCAGTTTGCTTTTTGGCCATGGTGGCCGATCGTAGCCATAGAAACCCTAACTAGGACAGGTTCCGAGGAAAGAACACACTCTTCACGTTGGTTTGTTCAGAAAGCTGCCTGTGCATGTAAGAAAGGCAAGGGGTCAATGTTCATGGAGAGCCAGACGGACAGGTCTTCCAGTAACAGACTGATCCACATTTCCATTTTCTTCTTAACATGTCCCTGGTCCTGCTAGGACCAGAAGTCTGTAGCACAGTCTCATTTGGACTAGATGGGATGTTTAATTACTATGGGGATTGAGGTGAGGCTCTGAATAAGTCCGTTTCTTAGCACCACGTAAGGACGGTATGGCTGGCAGCCGTAGATGTGGGAACTCCTGAGCAGGAAGGAGACCACCCCTTATCCGGGTACCTGTTGAGAACCCAAGTCCACAGAATGCACCACAGCTCCCAGGTGCCGGAGCTTGTCTGCAGCCAAGGCCATCATCCTGAAGACCTCCTGTCTGAGGCGAGGCACGGGCTGTACAGAGTCGCTCTCAATGGCCACCCATTCCTTCAGGGTCTGTGAAAGAAGACAGTGAGGGTTATCATGGCAGGGCACAGGAGCCCATGGCCAGCTGGGTAGGAGGACCCAAATGCCCTTCGGTTCATGGAGTCTTGTAGGTTAGTTTAACAGCACAGTGCCTTTCAAAAGCACTCCGTGGGAGTAAGGCCGGATTTCAGCTGTAAAGCTCGCTTTGCAAGAGCGAGAACCCCAGTCCAATCCCTCAGGGACGACTTTGCAAAACGGAATCTGGACATTGTGATGCGCACTTGTAATCCCAGAACAGGTGAGTCAGAAACAGGTCTGAGCCAGTCAGTAAGTCAGTAAGACTCTGGTTTCAAAACGAACAAAACAAACAAAAAAAGTGGACAGCACTTTGGCTTGCATGTACCTGTGCTCGTGTGCGTGTGCGCACACGCATGCACACACACACACACACACACACACACACACACACACACACACTTGATGGGTGAGTTTGGTATTTAATTTAAAACCTGGAGACCAGAAGCATCTAAGAACAAAGATGAGGTAGGGTGAGTTGAGGGAATAGGGAACCCATTCACACACATTCGATCCCCTAGGCAGCACAGCCAGGACCCCAATTCATCACTGTGTGAGTTTAGTTACTCAACCTGCCTGAGCCTATGGCCTTAACCTTTCAATCTCAAATTCCAACCGTAAAGGAGAAGAGTAGGACTGGACAGATGGCTCAGTGGTTAAGAGCAATTTCCGCTCTTGCAAAGGACCCAGGTTCAGTTCCCAGCACCTTCATGGGTCCTTGCAATTGTAACTGCAGACCAGGGCCTCTAGTGCCCTCTAGTGCCCTCTTCCGGTTTCTGCACACAGGTGATGTACATAAATTCACATAGGCATACGTACACACACAAACACACACATGCACACACACAAAGTAGATTAAATGATTCACATCGAAATATAAAGGAAATAAATGAATAACTTTTTAAAAGGAGAGCGTGTTCCCTCATTCCAGGAGGACACACTACCTCTATGTTATACAACCTGTTTCACTAAGAGCACTCACACTGTCCATGGTTGGAATCTGAATTGCTTACACCAAAAAAAAAATTTTTTTTGGTACTATGTAACCAGACTGGCTTAGAATGTGTGAGAATCCTCTGATCTCTGCCTGACAGGTGCTGGGATTAATGAAAAAGCAAACGGCCTTTATTTTGGATAGCTGATCCTCACTCTGCTTCTTTAGTTTCTCTTTCCTGCTCATACCATCTAAGTTTTTATCATAAGGGAGTTTGCTTAGGGAATACTAAGTTTTACATTTTTCACCTGGAGTTTGTAGGGCAGGTACTGCTGATGCTTGAGGAAGCCCGGAAGAGAGGCGCTCTGCCTGAGAGCACACACCCACCCTCGGCTCTAAACTGACTGGAGATTCCTCTTGAATTCCAGAAACCCGAGAGTCCTTTCTGCCGGGTTAGCGTTGCAGGAAGACTTGCATGGGCGTCATGCTTTGGAACATTGGCCTGGGGAGTCAACTTAACACAAAAGCTCCACCTCTGTTTCCATGGCGATAGTCTCCACATCGGCTGATTGACCCAGCCACTGGACCATGTGGTAGCTCTGGGGCCTCCTTGGGTCTCGCCAGACTTCACCTTCTACATCCCCAGAGCTACCACATGGTGTGGAAGTCAGTCACAGTGAGACATGAGGACCTCCACCTCCCCTCCGATGTGCCAGGAATGGGCAGTGTCTTTGTAGATGCTGGGACTAAGGGATCTCTGCCATAAAGATTTGAGGACTGATATTTCAACCTAATTAGAAGCCATCACCATTTAAAAAAAAAAAATGGAATCGTATCATTGGACACAAATGCCCTCCCCCCCCCCCCCGCAAATCGAAGACACCAGTGATGGGAGCTGTCATTCTGTAAATATGTTTCTCTTATTGGTTGATGAATAAAGCACTGTTGGCCAATAGCAAAGCTAGACAGGCGGGACTAGGAGACAAGGAGGAAAGAGGAAGTAGTAAGAAGGAGTCAAGATGGAGAGTCTGGAGAGTGCCGCTCTCTGGTAAGATGAGACCACGTAGAAATACATAGATTAACAGAAATGGGTTACTACTTAAGACAGAGCTAGCTGATAAGAAACTAGTACCTGGCCAACAGCATCATAGCTAATACAGAGTCTCTGTGAATTATTTGGGGCTGGCGTGGCTGCGGGACAAGTCCAGCGGCGGGTGGAAAAACCTTACTCCTACACACCAGATTCTGAAGGGAGCGACCAGAACATCCCACGGGCTTCTCCTACCTGCACGAACTCATCCTGGTGGAGGTCTATGTACTGGAAGACCTTCTCCAGCCGCCCTGAGGGAGGAGAAGATGAGGAGAGCATTCCTTTCTCCGGCGGCAGCGGCAGTACCAAGACGGACGAAGACTGCAATGGATGACAATTAAAACAGTGCCGCATTGGACTTCTGACCTTTCAAATGTTTTCAGAAACCTGCTGCCCAGTGTTGCGGCCCCATGTTGGTGATCAGAGACAGTTGAACCAGAAGTGCATGCCTCCTCACATCTTTCCCCACAAGCTCCCTTCTCAGAACATACGGAATTTTAACTTAATTTAAATTGTGTGTGTGTGTGTGTGTGTGTGTGTGTGCGTGGGGGGGTGTTTTTCCTACATATCTGGTTGTGCACCATGTACAAGCCTGGAATTCAGTCTGCATAGAGATAGGCAGCTGTGGCATGAAGAATAAACTTAGCTATATTGTACTGAGATGCACTGCAATAGAACAGTAGCATACAGCATCCCAGAGCACACTGTTCTGCACACAAGGAGGATGGAGACTATTTCAGAATTGCTGGTCGAAGAAATCTCTTAAGTCTGAATTATTTCACCCATGAAGCAGTATTAATATCAAGTAATACAATATGATAATAACCTTATACAGTTAATGGAATGCTGAGACTAGGGTTACATGGTTGGGATCTTCCATGTGGTTGCTGGGTATTGAAACTTGGTCCTTTGGAAGATTGCTCTTAACTTACTGAGCAATCATGCTAGAATTTACTTTATCTGTGAGAACCTCATACCTGAATACTTCATCTACATTATTAACCCCTTCTAACACTCTTCCTGGCAAATTCATATTGTCTTATTAATTATTATTGCTGCACACACACACAAACAAATGTATATGTATGTCTTAGTGACTTTTATAATCCTGAGAAAAACACAATGGCTAAAACAACTTATAAAACAGAGAATTTAATGTGGGGGTTCCTGGTTTCATAGGGCTAGAGCAGTTGTGGCAGGGAGCATGGTAACAGGCAGGTGTTGGTGTTGGGACAGTAGCTTACATTTGATCCACAAGCGGGAGAAAGGGGGAGAGGGAGGGTGCTAACATAGGAATGCCATGGGCTTCTGGGACCTCAAAGCCCATCTCTGTAACACACATCCTGCAGGAAAGGCAACACCTCCCAATCCTTCCCAAACAGTTCCACCAACTCAGTGGTTTTCAATCTGTGGGCTGGGCTGCAACCTCTTTGGGGTTCAATGACCCTTCATAGGGGTAGCATTGGAAAACACGGATATTTATGTTACAATTCATTAACAGTGGCAAAATTACAGCTTTGAAGTAGCAACCAAAATAATTTCATGGTTGGGAGTCACCACAACATGAGGAATTAAAGGGCCATAGCACTAGGGAGGTTGAGAGCCACTGCAGCAACTATTTTGAAATGTATGAGCCTATGGGGGGCCATTCTAATTCAAACCACCAAAGCTACATACACACATGTATGTGTAACACTGAGTCCCTTTAGTGTTGCTCATACATATGCATGCATGCACACATGCATGCCTTGGCCCAGTAAATAAATAAGCATCAAAACTGAAAGTAAAATGAAACAACTCCTTTAAAAGGCAGTGTGGCCAGGTGTGGTGGCTCATGCCTTTGATTCCAGCACTCCAGAGGCAGAGGCAGATCTCTGTGAGTTCAAGGCCAGCCTGGTCTACATAGTCATGTCCAGCAAACCAGAGCTGCATAACAGAGAGACCACGTCTCCAAAACAAACAAATAAACAAACACCTTTTTTTTTTTTTTTTTTTTTTTTAAGAAAAACCCTAAAAGGAAAACAGTTTGGACATTCTGCATATGATTAACCCTGTTGCTACATGACCCAATGATTCTGTTCTGAGTCATATACTCAAGAGAAATAAAAATGTTACACAAAAACTTGAAAAATGGTTACACAAAGATTATTTATAGTAGCCAAAAGGAAGAACCAGACCAAATGTCCGTCATCAGGTGAATGGGTTACCAAAGGTGCTTAACCCTGTAATGAGATTATCTGGCTGGTGAAAACAAAACAAACAATAAAATACTTGGTTCTAGAAAGTATTGGTGGGGTTGGGAACAGTTTAGTGGTTGAGCACTTGCCCTGACCACATAGTGCTGAGTGAAGTAAGCCGGACATAAGGGACTGTTTATTGAATGCTTTCCTTCGTGTAAAAGTCCGGTATATATCAATACATGCATGCAGGAACCCTGGAGCCGGGGAGGCAGTGCCTGTCAAAGAGGAAGAGTTCCCTTGAGTGATGGGAATATTCTGACAGGGATTGCCACAATGGTGGCTCAACCCAGAGAGTATACCAAAGACAGTTGAAGTGTGTGCGTTACCTGTCCGGATTGTAAGACGTGTGCATTGAAATACAGATGTAAGGCAGCCACCTCTGTAAGATGAGAAATGTGTAAGGGAAGCGAGGGGCTAAAATTAAGGGGCCAGCAACACCTGCTTGCTCTTGATGGGATTCAAGAACTTGACCAGCAGGTGGCACTGGCGACTTGCTGTGTCCTCCACCCTCCATCCAGACACAGCTGTTCAGCAAGGGCTTCATGATAGGCGGCTAATGAACCAGGTGGGAAACACCCAGGTTTGCCTTCCAAAGACTTAAAAAAAAATCAGAGCACCAAAGAAAACTCATGTTAGCTCTTTGAAAATGCTAAAATCTTCCCCCCTGAGTTCTGCCGACTGACCAGGGTCGTGTTGTATGTTATACCATCAAGCTGCACCTCCAATCTCAGACAGAAACATCCTTGGCAAGCCCTTGTCTAGATTAACATTTGAACTTGCTTCTCATCCAGCTGTTACTGAGGAAGTTTTTAACTAGTATATTTTTCTCCTTTGAGGACTTCATGTGTTTTAATCATATTCACCCCTGCCCCTAACTCTTCCCAGGGCACCTCACCTCCCCCCCCCCCCCCCCCGATTTTGTCTTTTAAAGAAATAACTCATCCCATCCAATTTGTGCTATTCGTATACTCCTAGGTGTGAGGTCATACACTTGAACATGGTGTACCTCCCAGGGCCTCTCCCCCAGAAGCCAGCAGCTGCCCACAGTCCCTCAGTAGGGGTAGAGGCTCACAAACCACACTGCCAAAAAAAAAAAAAAAAAAAAAAAAAAAAAAAAAAAAATTCAAACAGCTATTTTTTAAAAAAGAAAAGAAGCTGGACATGGTGGCACACGCCTTTAATCCCAGCACTTGGGAGGCAGAGGCAGGCAGATCTCTGTGAGTTCGAGGCCGCCAGCCTGGTCTACAGAGCGAGTGCCAGGTCAACCAGGGTTTTGTGGTTAGAAGAGTTAGGGGGTAAAGAAAAAGGCCACAGGAAGAGAAAGAAAACAGCACTTCAGTCCCTAGGTACAAGGACTGAAATTTCAGAGTTGCGTGGAGCCACCTGCTCTGTCAGGGACCCAGGCCTGTCCCTGGGGACTAACTGGGATGTGGTCCCCGATGGTGGGGCAGATTAAGGAGCTGGCTCACTGTCCACTTTCTTGCCCAGTCCTGGCCCCTCCCCTTACAGAGTTGGACAGAGCCTGCTGCTAAGCATTTGGTGCAGGCCACCAAGGTAGATTTTTGGGCAGTAAGAACCGGTCTTCGACACCCTTGAATGGGACCCCATGCATGATCGGCTGGCCTCTCCCCTCATGTTCCTTCATCACTGTTGGTTTCCCTGTGGTATAGTCATCCCACTCTTGGCTTTTGACTTTGCAGAAAGAGGGGTCAGGCAACAGGAAAGGAGGCAGGGTGTGGGGATTCTGGGGCTGACATCCGGAACTTGGGGTCCTGTTTATTACTGTTGGTGGCTGTACGTTTGGGCTCTTCTGAACTTGCCCACGTGGCAAAGTAACAAGACCTGTGTCACCCTGTGCTGTAGTCTGATCAGGCAGTATACCCAGAAGCTTCAGGTGAGGCCAAGCTTGCCCTAACCTCATTCCCTTAATCAAAGGGGAAGCCTACACACTTCCAAAGAGCGATACTAACAAAGTTTGGAGGCTTCTGAAATGTTGAGTGGAGTCACAAGGGACCCAAATCACCATACACCTGCTGGCCAGATTTTCTACCAGATGTCTTTCTCCTTCTTGCTCCAGGCTAGTCAACATGTGTGTCCAGCTGACCCTGAACCACCTTGAGTAGAGTCACATTCACCAAGGACAGTCCCTTTGCACCATGAACAGCAGGCTGTGAGCAGGGAGCAGGAATCAAACCTTCTACTGTGCTGGACGTCTTTGGCAATGAACGGAATGCGGAGTAGAAAATGATGCCCATTACCCCTTGGGCCTTCTCTGCTCCCTCCCTGTCCTGTAGAAGCAGAAAAACTGGGCATGCAATGCTAGAATTCAGACCAGACTACGGCTCCTGCCCTGCCGACATGGATGGTCTGGGAAGCCCGAGCAGAGACTCCCAGGTGCCAGGATCTCATCTTACCTGGGGAAGTTAGTTTACACCTGTTGGTGGCCACATATCCTGCCCCTACCCCGTTCCCTGCCAGCTGCTAGGTAATCAGGAAACCTGGCTGCCTGCAGCCTGGTGGTGTGAACCTTCTCTCTTCCTTACAGAGCTGTAAGTGTGGACCTCAACTCAGCCACAAGGGCTTGGCCCTCTTCAGACCCTTTGCTGTGACCCCTCTGTGGTGCCAAGGCCACAAATACACTCAGAGCCCCCACCAATGCTGTCTGTCGGTCTGTCCGTCCGTCTGCGGCATCCGTAACCCCTACAGGCACCTCATTCCAACAGTCCTGAATAGGGACTCTCTTGGCCTGGCACTGAGGCCGCGCAGTTCCCCATTTGCCAGACAGAGGTTGTCTGTAACACGGGAAGAGGTTTTACCGACGACGTCATTTCAGTCACCAAAAACTTTACTTACCAAGTTGCCTGGAGCCTTAACGTTCCTGTTTATAGAGGCTGCTCTGTCCTGTTTCTGCTTCGATGATTTTTTTATTAGTGTTATTATTATTATAGAAGAAAACATGTTTTATTAGCCTGGTTTCTCATGGTGATTGATATAAAACAAAATAAAAAGGGAGAAAACAAAACCCTCAGGTTTTTCTGGATTGTGTTAATCCCAGGTGGGCGGAACAGAGTCCAAAGATTCCACAGAGAGGAGTGTGGCAGTGACCCAAGGGGCGGTTAGGGCTGGGCCTCCTCCAGGGAGCAGCCCTCCCCGAAGGTGAAGGCAGTGGCTTTGAGGAGCAAAGTTCCCTAGAAATGTGCAGACAGCTAAAATCAAAGATCCCATGGAGCTGGCAACCCTGAGCTAAGGATTTGTGGTGTTTTACACAAACATTTGAACCTCAAAAGGCCAGGCTCCACAGACAACAGATGCGTAAAATTTAGTACTTAAGAGAAACCAACCTGACCCCTTAGAGGTGGACATACACATACTGCCCAAGAGATAACACTAACCCATCTCCTACTGCTAGAAAAGATTCCTGCCCCTCTCCACTCCACCAGGGAGGATTCTGTCCCCTGAGCCTTGCCTGTCTGCTGTGGCTGTACCACAACACCTTTAAATACCCTCTCTGCTTCTGTACCCACCACCCTTGGTAAAATGTCACTGGTCTGTCATTGTCATCTGTGTGTGGCAAAGACCCAGTGACTGAGTTGCTGTAACATCTTCTTTTGTGATCTAATCAGCCAGTTTGACTCGACAGCGTCGTTGGCTGAGGCCAAGTTTGGCTTACATTCATTCCCATCGCCAAAGGCAAGGCCCACACACTGCTGACTGATGGGTGATACTGACAAAGGAGATCCACTTTGGAAAAATCTTAAGTAGCCATCTAAGAATGCTGGGTGGGGCTGTAAGGGGCCAGAAGTCACCAGAAGCTGAGTGTGGAGGAAGAGGTCACTGATTCAGGGACAGTTGTGTCTTCCATGGAGCCTTTTGAGCCTGCAAACAGAAAAAGATACCTTTCCTGAAGTGTAAAGCAAAGTTAGAAAGGAAGGGCATTTAAAGGTCCTCCCAAGCCATATTACTCTAAAAAAAAGTGAGGGGAAGTAATCAGATGAGTGCAGGGCTGTATCCCTATATGTTTTAAAGGGAGACAGGGGCCAGGTTTGGTGTGAGATGGACTCCTCCAGCTCTGTATGTCTCCATCTAACACCCCAGTCTTTGCCAGCGAGAAAGTGTGATGGTTCTTAAAGACCGTAGCGCAGTGAACCAAGGGAGTCCACTTCCAGCATGCTATGTCACCCAACCAACCCTATGTCTCCTTGATAAGATCCCAGATGACCACCATTACTTCAATATCACTGGCCTGAAAGAGGCATTGGGGATTTTCCTCTGGCTGAGGGCCTCTTCTCCTTCTAGAGCAAGTGAAAGGCTTTAGTTTGCAGAGCAAGGATGTAGGAAAGGGGTTAGGAAAATAGTTCTTGCAAGCAGAATACAGAAAATCACAAAGAATGGACATTGACATGGGTGGAAAGATCAGGAATTATGAGATCAAGAAAGGTTACTATGGTGATGGGGGTTGTGGTTATATGCTAGGCCGATCTTGTTAAATAGGGCTAGTTACTGAATCATCAAACCTTTGTGGAATAACTGAAGTTTCTCTCAGGTTTTGGCCCACAACAAGGAAATAGGCCCAACCTTGGAACAAATGGTTCCAGATGACCAGCCCTGTCTGGGTCACACCTGGCCAACGGACAGTCTGGGGACTTTCCAAGTCATTCTGTGGTTTTTTTTCCTTTGAAGAAGAACTGGTCACATCTGGGTGACCTCTCAAACATGAGATCATACTTCGTAATCAATCACCTTGTGCCCCATGCATGTATGCTGATTTGTGGTCTTTCTCTATAAAAAGGAGTCTGAACCCTTTGAGGGGTGTGCAGCTTTCCCCAACATTGCTGACACCTGAGTGCACTCGCTCAATAAACACCTCTTGCTTGTTGCATCTCCTGGTTTGGTGATTGTGTCTCAGGGCTCTCCCATCAGCCCATCAGGACTCCAGAATTAGGGTCTTAGAGAAGAAGAAGACACGATACCGCTGGACAGATTTTGTTTGACGGATTTTGCAAACACTCTTTAAAACAATAGCACTTTGGCAGTCTTCCATGAGTTCGAGGCCATTCTGTCTACACAACGAGTTCTCAGCCAGCGGGGGATACATAGGAAGACCCAGACAAAGTAAGACAAACAACAACAGAACCAAAGACAGTAGGGAACTTTTTCCCGGCAAACCTGATTTAGTACGTGGATCGCCTCTTGCTGTCTGCGACATCCCAAGAGGAATGAAGACAGGGACAACAGGGCCTAAAGACTTCAAAGGAAAATTATAATTCATTGAAAACAAAGTGCCATATTTAGGACACTTAATTAGCAAGAGGAAATGAAGGCAGGCCCTGAATGAACAGAGGGAATGATGAACTTGCCACTTCCTTCTAGAAAGAAAAAAAAAAAAAAAAAGCATTGGCAGGGTGTCTTAGATGGTTCTAGAGAGGTGTCTTAGACGTTAAGAGCACTTGTGGCTCCTACAGAGGCCCTGGGTTTGGTACCCATCACACATGTAGTGGCTCACAGCAACCCCCATAAGTCCTCCATTAGCCTAGCTTTAGGGAACCCAGTGCCCTCTTCTGACCTCTGTGAGTATCAGGTATGCATGGGATGGAGGCAAAACTCTCTACACATAAAATAAGATAAATCTAAAAGACTTAAAAAAAATAATGGACCTCAGAAAAACTCTGGACTAGCTGGTTGCAGTAGCATGTAGATTGACTGTCAAACCTTTAAAATCCGAGAACTTTATCTCAAACTCCTAAGAGAACTGACCCCCCCCCCTTTTATGGCCACCTTGATGAAGTCAAGCTTGCCAAGAGGCTGAAGAATTACCTTGCTCCAGCCCAGTTCTAGAACTACCTTCACTTGAGAAACCCTTCCATCTATTTGTAAGCACAAACAGAGGAACAGTCTTTGGAGTCTTAACTCCAGGGCCAAAGACAACCCGCCACCTTCTTTTCTAATCTCCTCAACCCTGTATCTACAGGATGGGCTAAATGTAGGCAATCAGTGGCCGAACCTCAATTGAGAAAATGTCTCTGTAACATTAGTCTGTAGGTAAGCTTGTGGATTAATGATTGATGTGGAAGTTGACCAACTAATCGTGGGTGGTCCTATCCCTGGTTAGGTGGTCCTGGGGTGTATAAGAATATAAACATGTTACAAGTAGGTCCCCTCCCCCCCAGCCTGGGCCCATTGCCGCACCAGCCCCAAATAACACACACAGATGCTGTATTAGATAAAATTCTGTTGGCCAGTTACTTGTTTTTTTATCGGCTAGCTCTGTCTTAAGAATTAACCCATTTCTATTAATTTAAGTATTTCCATGTGGTCTCCTCTTACCAGAGACCTTCTCTCTCCGTCCTCCATCTTGGAATTCCCCCCAACTACTTCCTCTCTCCTCCTTGTCTCCTAGTCCCGCCTATCTTGCTTTCCTATTGGCTAACAGTGCTTTATTCATTAACCAATAAGGGAAACATATTTACAGAATGACATCTCCCATCACAAACGGAACAAGCCAGTAAGCAGCCTTCCTCTAGGTTCCTGCCTTGACTTTCATTCACAGTGGACAACAGCTCTAAGATGAAATAGACCTTTCCTCCCCACATTACCTTGGCTCATGATCTTTGTCCCAGGAAAAGAAACCTAAGACAGACCATGAACACCTAAATGGTCTGCTCAAGCTTGTGAAATGCTTGTTCTCCTCCAAGCCGTAATATGCCAAAAAACAAAACAAAACAACAACAACAAAATTTATACCAACTCTAACCATGCCTTTAGAGAGTAGTATGTACATTCAGGAAAATCTGGGCAGAACAGGGGCCTCATTTGTAACAAGTGACCAGACTTACAAGACTTACTATGTAAAGAAATAAAAAAAAAAAGTATGTGTGTGTGTGTGTGTGTGTGTGTGTGTGTGTGTGTGTGTGGGTATCTGAAGTCTTGGATAGTTTAACATTACCCACAGAACTAGTGGTGGGAAACTGGGCATGACAGCACACACCTTTAATCTTTGCACTCCAGAGGCAGAGGCAGGCAGAACTCTGTGAGATCAAAGCCACCCTGGCCTACAGGGTGAGTTCCAGGACAGCCAGAGCTATGTAGAGAGTGTCTGTCTCAAAACAAGAAAGAAAGAAAGAGAAAAGAAGTGAGGAGGGAGGAAGAGAGGGAGGGAACAAGTTAGATTATGGCGGTGCATCCAAAGAGACATTCCATGGAAGTCTGTGATGGACAAGACAGCACAGGGAGAGTCTCCAGGCAGGGGTATCTATGTTCCACACGGTTAGTACTTTCTCCCCCATCCAGTGTCTCTTTCCCACTTTAACCCAAGGTCAATTAGAGAATCCAGGAGCTTCTAAAAGCCCCTCCAAGAACTATGATGACAGAAATACCAAGTAAGTTCCACCAAGGGAGTCCCTGGGGTTCACAGACTTTGTTGTGACACTGACTTTACACTTCATGGATACTTAAAGATCTATACATATAATTGTCCCATATGTAAAACAGATCCACAAACAAACCCTAAGGAAGTAATGCACAGGGAAAGACCCTTTTTCTTTCAGAGCATCCAAGCTGATCGCATTGAGATGCTCATGGCAGTTGGCATCTTTTAGTTAGATGTATTTTAGTTATAGTGACTAATTAAACATTGGGTGGAAGCTAACCCATCAGCAAATGCTACTGCTCCCAGTGTTACTAAGGCACTGGTAGAAATTGTCTACTTAAGGATGTAAAGGGGCCATTAGGTGACCTATCCAGGAACGTTTTTTAGTTCAAGTAAAGCTTACAGACAATCAAAATTGTTACAAACTAGAGGCTTTTTCTGTAACTCATTCACTATTCAAATCTCATCTTTCTTTTGTTATGTTCTTGCAAAACATGTCTTCTCACTTGTGTTCTTTATAAACATGCTAGGCAATGTTTAATCTTGAGTTGATGGAAGATGTCATCCTGTATATGTTTCTCATACTGGTTAATGAATAAAGCACTGTTGGCCAATAGGAAAGGAAGATAGGAGGGACTAGGAGACAAGGAGGAAAGAGGAAGTAGGAAGGAGGAGTCAGGATGGAGAATCTGGAGAGAATAGAACCGCCAGCCGCCTCTCGCTCGTAAGACCACGTGGAAATACATAGAAATGGGTTAATAATTAAGACAGAGCTAGCGGATTAGAAGCTAGCACCTGGCCAACAGCATTGTATCAAATACAGAGTCTCTGTGCATTATTTGGGGCTGGCGGTGTGGCAGCAGGACAAGACCAGGCGGCAGAGAAAAACCTTACTCCTTACATTGAGTAGTATCAACAAATACGGATGGGTGCTCTGATTAGAAAATATGTTACAATACTTGCATTGAAAATAACATCCAGAAGTAGCTACTTCATTAAGCGCTAAAACAAACATAATTACATTGTAGCCAACTAATTGTCATAAAAACCACATAATAACCATTCATCAGTAGCTTTTTATTTTGTCTTCTGTGAAATAAATATTTACTCTTGGAAGAAGAAGGGGGAGGAGAAGAAGGAAAGAGAAAGGAAGGAAGGAAGGAAGGAAGGAAGGAAGGAAGGAAGGAAGGAGAGAGGAAGGAAGAAAGGGTCTAGTTGAAAACAGATTCAGAAAACCGAAGGTGTTTTACAGCTGACATCCTCAGAGGCTTCATGTTGACTCTGGGAGTCACTGGGCCTATCCCACCCCTGTCACCGTCCCTCCTCAGGTGAGATGCAAAGGATGAATCAAGCTCTAAAAAGTCACTTAACCACACTGGTCCTGGAAACAGGACTGCCCTGGACAAAGTGTCTTCCAAATGTCTGCCTAAGAGCCAGAGCTGCCCCATGGAATGGTCTTATAAAATGGTCTACAGGCTGCCCTATCTGGGCCAATCTATCCGGTCTTCCTACATGAAAACCAAAGACCCTTTCCTCCAGAGTTATGTGTTTGTCTTGTCTTTTGTTTAAGCCCTCTCTGGGCGACAAGGCCTGCAGACCCAGATGCCTGTGTTTGAGCCCCCAGTTCGCCCCATTGATTGAGTTGTAATTAAGTCTTAGAAGAAAACCAGCGTGTCCCTGGGATGGTCATATCGGGTGCCGCTTACCAGGGAGACTGAGGTCCTGGCTGCCTAGAAAAGGTGAAATCACAACACTCAGGAAAAGAAGTCACCCCTGTCAGAGACTCTAACCACGTTCTAATGTTACTACTGTGTCACACACAGATGACTGGGTTGTTAATGAACAGAGACCAACTCTCCCTGACTGTTAAATTTGATGCCTGACTATTTATTTATTTATTTATTTATTTATTTATTTATTGCTGTTTCAGACAGAAAACATCTGCAGGTGTGCCAACCCTGGACCCTCCTATGTACCTGTGCTGGAACCCATCTATCAACTTGATGCAAGAAGCTACCTGGTTAAGAACCATGTGCAACGCAATGGTGATGGCCTGTCTTTTTGAGAGATGTTCAGCTAGTCATCCCTGGTGATAACAAAAGCAGGTGACTGGTGGCCTCACGGGGGGGGGGGGTCCCTACTTGAGACTTCACTGGTCTGTTGGAGTAGGACCTATACTTCTATCCAACTGGCTATTTTTTTCTCCCTGGCATTATGCACCCCAACTCACTCCCGTGTCTTTCCTTCAAGTGAGAGCATTCTTAATTTGTGGAGGCACCATCCAATTCCCATGTCTACATAGAGGCTATATAGGTACCTGGGGATATCCTTCACTAATTAATTCAAAGCTCTGAACCAGGTAGCTGCTGGATTTGAGTCGGCATTGTTCTAGTAGTACACTACCAATAGAAATGTTTGGATCAATTATCCTTACCACAATCAACAATGGTTTGTCAGTTACACGGGGGGAAGTAGTGAAGGGAATAGCTGTACTGTGAAATTCAATCGGTAAGGTGGCTAAGAAAAATAGATTAGGTCTAGATAGCGATTCTAGCAGAGAAATGCAGAGTTTGTATAATGTTGCTTTCGGCCCTAACAATGCAGTTTGCAGTAGAACAATCGCTAAGGCCCTTCTGGGTTAGCCTGCTTTAGTTAACCAATTAGCTGGGAATTTGGGAATGGACCAATGGCTTGGAAAATGGAGAGGCCTTGTTATAGTCAGTGGGGTTGGTAACCTATTTGGATGTTATATAACTGTTTGGGGCAGGGGTCCCACCCAGAAGCTCACTGGAACTGCTTGCACCTCGCCAAATATCCTCAGTCTCCGTGACTTAATATTACTGGAGAGTTCAGAACATGAAAAGCAGCATACGCTGCCTGGATTTGAAGAAATCTATTCTGAATACAGAAAGATAAAGGCCCAGATGCAGAAGGTAGAAACAAGCTGAGCTAAGGCCCCACATTCATAGGTAAGAATAAGATTCCATGTGTCTTCTTTGGGAGCTGGGTAGTGGGCCCCCAAAAGAGTAAAGAGTTAAAAAAAAAAAAAAAAACTACACTAGGTATAGAGTGGCCTTGAGCTTACCATGTAACCCAGGCTGGCTTTGCATTCCTCCAGTCTGTTTCCTGAGTACTAGGATTATAGGTGTGCAAACTGCTCATTTGGAATTGATAAAGTGTGGAGAGTTTTGATTTCACTTTCCCTTAAAGATTTCAGACATACTTATTTATGCACCTTGACACATGTTCTACTGTGTACAGAAGTGGCCTACTTTCTAGCAACTCCTCATATGCTTGTCCCCAAGGCTTTCCTTATCGTATGTCTTTCCTATTCTGGTGGCTCAAACAGCATACCCTGAGTGTGGCACTTTGATGGGTTGAGCTGGAGAACAACTCAGAAGGTGGTCTCTATGGCCAGCCCCCTGCCTTCCCAGTCTGGAGATTCATTTGGTCTTCCTTCCTTAAAAATGCAGACAGGGGCTTTTGGTGAACTTACAACTGTCTTAAAATCTGCTAGCCAAGGGAAAGGACAAGGCTGAAAGCAACCAGCAGGCCCAGAACCCAGGGGAACTTTGCCCCAAGACATTTTGTGTGCTTCCTAGCTTTTTCTCCTAAACAGCATTTACTGCCTTACAATGCCTCCTCAAGCCCTCACTTGTCACACTCACACATACACTCACAGACACACACATACCACACACACTCACACACACACACTCACACACTCACACACGCACACACACATACTCACAGACATTCACTCACACACACACTCACACACACACACACACACAATCTAGGTGTCAACCTACTGGCCCTGTGTCTGGGTTTCATGCTTGACTGGCTCTGTAAACATTAATAACTGTGCTGTGTGTTTCTTTTGTCAGTCTGCCTTTCGTGATAGGGTAGCGGCCAGGCTTCTAACATTATTTTGGGAGGAGGACTGGGTCACTTTCCTTCATGTCCCGTCTTTGCACACATCAGAGTTTCGTCTTGTGGGCTCTGATTCAGTGGCGGATATTTTATTCTACTTTTCTGTAACTATTGTGTCTACAGGTGCTGAGGTGTGGTAGCCTCCTCCTGTTTTAAGGTGTCCTGTTCAGGTCCAGGGTTCACGTTGGTGGCTCAGAGTCCCAAACAATGTAAACCAGAGGGCTGGAGCTCATGGGGTGCTACATGCAATGAGCTCTTGGCCCTAGAGAAGGCATGTGTAGCTTATATGCCAGAGGCTAGACAAGCTGTGTTCTGTTTGGTCTCACTGTTCAGGACAGACTCACGGAGCCTCTCTCCTTCATTCTGTGGCTTCTTTAGGCTCAGCCCAGCCCAGCTGCAGCAGCTCTGCTCTTTGGCAGGAATATGGGTGTGTTTTTTGATTAAAGTGCTAAGGTGCACAGTGTTGCTTTGTTTTGAAGTGGGGTTTTCAGAGTGGATGGCATCTTGATCAGAACTCACAACTGAACTTTCCAGAAGGTGATGTCTCTAATAAACTGGCCTTGCATGAGGCTCAACCCTGTCTTCCCCAGGACAAGCTCCATGTAGAGTGCTGTCAATCACCCAGTGAGGACTTTCCCAAGTTCAACAAGATCAGGCTCAAAAGCCGGGATGCTTCGTTGCTTGCCTTAAGAGGCATGTTTTTGATCTGGTTGTCTTCTCTTGAGACTGGGAATTGCTCGTGCCTCTGGCCAGGAGCTGAAGGACGAAAATCAGCTACCTGGCCAGCAGGGCCAGTGCCGGGTGGTAGATCTGGACAGTGACCCTGTGTGGTGTCTGGGCCAGGTGGTGGTCTACCTCAGATGAGGGAGGAAGAGAGGAGATGTCACTGAGGACCAAAGTGAGGCTGGCTTCTGAAAGGCCTCGATGCACCGCCCAGTTGAAATTCCCATTTTATGCTCCGGAACCATGAGGAGGGGCAGGCAAGCAGGTAGGATTTTTATCAGAGTGTTGGCAGTCAGCGGGCTATTTCTCCAGAACTTTCAGTAATAGGTAGCACGTGAAGTCACGCTTGGCAAATAGGCAGTGTATCGAGTAAGTCACTAAACCAGTAACTGGTCTCTCCGGCCTTACTCCACTTCATCCCGAGGGGAAGCGAACACCGTGACTCTGGACTCAGGGGCCCCGGGCCGTAGAGGTTGCTCTTGGCCAGGCTGGTGTCTGCCTGTGACCTGGGGCCCCGGGGAAACCCTGTAGCGGCTGTTTCTCCCCGGTCTTCTTCACTTCCACGGACTGCACCTCTGCCCTCAGGGTCTGCTGCGTCCCATTCTTTTGGGGTTCTGCAGGGGTAGTTTCTAACTTGATGTGCCATTGGCTGCCGGAAGCTGGGTGTCTTTTTCTGAGCCACGTGGGTACCATTGGAGTCCCTCTGTTCCACCCAATATCCTGACGAAGGATTGTAACTCCCTTGAAAGGGTGACTGAGTTACCAGACACTGGGGCATTGTGCTTTGGGGACAGAAGTCTCTCGCCTCCTACTTACTCCAGTGAGTGGAGGGCTGACACAGGCCAGGGCTACTTTAAAGTTCAAGCCCTGAAACAGGAAGACTAAACAGACCGTAGCTTGTCTGGCCCCCGGCACACGAAGGAAACATGCCTGTTCTGGGGCTGAGAGAAATGGAGACAGGTGTTGGGAGAACTCAGGATGGGCTCCTCTGTGGAGATCTTTCTTACGCCACTTCTCCAGGAGCCTAGCTCCCAGCACCAGGAAAGCCTCTGTTACAGGCAGATTCCTCTATGAGAGCTGGAGATGGGCCTGGAAGGCATGGGGGAATCTTCAGAAACTGGCCAAATCCTGGTGCCTTCAGAGCCGGTGACCCAGAGAGACTCTGGTGGGCAGCAGGAGGTAATTGCTGAGAGGTGCCACCAGAAGCCAGAAGGTGAGGAATTCTCCCAGGGAGGCAGCTGACAGCCATTTCCCAGGCAGGCTTGGAACACCTGTCACAGAATGATCTCAGGCCCTGTCTTCCTCCTTTTCAGTAGGTGGCGTGGGGGTGGGGTGGCGGGGCAGCCTCTGAGTCTGTCCTCATTTTGAGCCGGTAGAAATTGAGGTGATCACCCCCCTCCCACCTACCCCCCAACACACACTCACACACACTCACACTCACACATACACACACAGCTGCGCGTTCTCCATTGCTTTTGGAACTAGGAAGTTGCTGGTATGAGTGACAGAAAGGAGAATCTTTGGAACCGGAGGACCTCCATGGTTCTTCCAAGCTGCTACCCTACCTGGAGGATGGATTCTGGGGACAGAGTTTAACCATCTTCTGTGCTGATTGACCCTGTGGTTCTCCAGGATCCCTGGGCAGATTCCAGGGATACTGTTTAACCATCTGCTATCTGAACCTCAGGTGGTGCAGGACAATTGGCCCCTCTTCATTAAAAGCTGAGTGCTCTCCCTTAATAAAGGTGACAATGGTGTGGCTGGGACAATATACGAGGCCACCGGGAGTGGGTCCAAGACCTCACACTAATGCACAGACTGACTTAGTGGAGCCCATTCTATCTGGAGAGTTGCCTTATTCAGCCTCGACACAGGGGTGTGTGTGGAGACTACATGACCCTGCAAATCCACAGATACAAGAAAAATGAAATCATGTCCCCATAAAAACTTCTACACAGATGTTTGTACTATCATCATTCATACTGGTTAAAACACAGGACAACCTACATGTCAGTCTACCAACAAAAGCTAAATAAAATGTGATATACCCACAAGGTAGAATAGCCTTGGCTGTGGAGAGGGGTGACGTGCTGATTGATATATGCTACACCACAGCTTAAAATTTTATATTCAAAGAACTCACATGGCTGATTTTATGAAACAGATTGAGCATTAACTACTTGAAAATATTATGTTTTTTAAAAAAGAACATGTAACCATCCATGCTTACCATGACAAAGTGATGCCAAACATGTCTTGGACTGGGCTAGCATGCACCTAAGAATGTTGGTTAGCTCGGTATGTTACATGAGGGCTTGTCGCATCTACCTGCTCCGTCAGGAGGTGGCTCAGCATGTACTCAGAGACGGTGGCTGGCCTTGTGAGCCCTACGCACCATTGTCCCTAGCTTGGGGTCCACTGGGCCAGAGTTCCAACGTCTTCTGCACAGCCCTGACTCCAAGGAACATGGAAAAGGAAGTCCTTCAGGACCTGGATGCCTCATTAAACATCCCTGTGCCCTGCCCGGCCTGCCCTGGTGCACCATGACCCCAGGATGAAGGGTCCTCTGAGTCTAGTCACCTCTGAAAAACAAAGATGCTCCACTCAACTCTCTCACTGAAGGACAGTGTGACCCATGTGCACAGATGAGGTTGTGGCCCGAGTCATTTGATGCTACTAGAGGCCAGCTGATCCTGGACACGTCACTGGAGGTGCTAACTGAGGTCACAGCACCTGAGGACTGCAGGTGGAGACAAGCAAGGCCATACCACCTCCACTGCAGGGGACAGCTGCAGCCATGCCCCTGAGGGCTCTGTAGACACAGTGCTACAAGGTGGCACCACGGAGAGGGTAAGGCCTCCCATAGGAATCAAGTTTCTGATGGATGATGGCTGTCCTGGCTCCTCCTTGGCTGGTAGATCATTGCCTTAGTCTCTGTCTTCACATTCACATGGTTCTGGATTTAGAGTTAAGGACAGACGAAATGGGTTGTGGGACTTGCCCCCGAGGTTAAGGAAAGCTGCTGAGGCCATGCATGTGTCCAGAGTGTCCCTGAATGAACGCCCAGAGAGACCGTTGCATGAAGCTGTGGAGGTGAAGCCGGGGTTGCCTTGGAGATCCCAGGGTCGTGAGGTGCTTGCCGGGGAGAGCTGCTAGCGGGGAGTGGGACCAGCTCCAGGGAGAGAAGTGTGTGGCAGTGACAAAGCTGGAGAGTGTTTTGATGCGAGACAGGGATGCAGGGTTTGGAGTTTTCCTAGCTGGTCTTTGGTCTTGATTTGGACCAGTATTTCCCTACATTTTGGAATGGTAATGTATATCCTGTGCCATTATATGCTGGAAGTATGTGATCTTCTTTTTGATTTTGATTTTACAGGTGATTACAGTTAAGAGATTGCATCAATCTCAGAAGACTTTGAAGTTTGGATTTTAAAACATTGTTGAGACTGGAATAGACTATGGGGGCTTTTCCCCTTGTTTTCTGAGGCAGGGTTCCTCTGTGTAACTCTGGCTGTCCCTGAACTAGCTCTATACACCAGGCTGGCCTTGAACTCACACAAATCTGCCTGCCTCTGCCTCCCAAGTGCTGGGATTAAAGGTGTGTGCCACCACTGCCCGGCTGGCTGTGGGGACTTTTCAAGCTGAACTAAATGCATTTTGCATTAGATTGTTAGGAACGTATGGGGGGCAGGGTTTGGAATATCGTAGTTTTAATGTTATTGGCCCCCATAATACCATGGAGAGTGTCACTAGAAGGGTTTATTGTCACTAGTGGCTTTATTGGCGTAGATGTGGCTTTGTTGGAGGAAGTGTGTTACTGTGGAGGAGTCTTTGAGATTTCCTATGCTCAAGATACTGCCCAGTATTTCAGTCGACTTCCTGTTGCCTGCAGGATGTAGGAATCTTGGCTACTTTGCCAGCACCGTGTCTTCCTGTGCACTCCCATGCTCCCTGCCATGATGATGGACTGAACCTCTGAAACTGTAAGCTGCCACCCCAATTAAATACCTAATGTTCCAACAACAGTAGATGGGGTTTCCAGAAGTCCCTTATCCCGACACACACCCATCCTCTTTCACCAAGACACCCCAAGACAAATGTTAGCCAATCAGGGGTCCTGACCCTTAGAAATCCCTCAACCCAACCTCTGCTATGATTTAAACCCCACCCAACTGAGCTCAAGGCTCTCTGATCTCTTACTGTTTTATCATGCGGAGGGTCCATGCTTGAGTTTGAGTCATGGCTTTTTGCTTTTGCATATAGATTTGGACTCCTTGGTGGTCTTTGGGGGGGACTCCATGATCTGGGTGGGCATAACAAAAGTTCTCTCCTTTTCTTTCTTTTTAAAGATTTATTTATTATGTGTGCATGTATGCCTGCAGGCTAGAGGAGGACACTAGATCTCATCACATATGGTTGTGAGCTGGGAATCCAACTTAAGCCACCATGTGCTTGCTGGGAATTGAGTTTAGGAGCTCTGGAAGAGCAGCCAGTGCTCATAACCACTGAGCTGTCTCTACCAAGTCTAGGTCTTTTGGCTAAGATCAAGTGTAGTTCTCTCCTTTTCTAAACCAGACAAGGTGGTTGCGCACTTCCCAGGCATCGGGTTGCTGCTGTGGGGAGACAATGGAGACCAGCTGTAAATACTCACGAGTACAGAACTGCCTCCAGCTCCAGCACAATTTCCTCAGAAAACATTGCTGAATGCTGGCCATTTCACTAGCACTGAAGAAAGCTTGTATCTGCTCACTAGACACAGGAGTCCCACGGCACAAACCCCGAGAGATGGTTCAACAGTTTGAGTATGTAAAACGATTGCTATCAGGTTGTTTTCTTGGGGCAGACGTGTCTGAAAGGGTTAATGGGGACAGGGATGGGGGCTGGTTAAGAAGGAGCTCAGCAGGGGTCAGACTTCAGGCTCCTGAAGGTATCCTGGCTGTGATTACAGGGACCTAAACCTTAGAGGTGATGTCATGATTTCCAGAAATCACTATTCTATTCTACGTGGGGCATGAGAGGCTCCAGATTTTATTCAGATTATTGTGTAATTTCAGAGTGTGATATTTGCTCACCGAGTCTGAAGTCCCTAGAGCTGATGTGCTATCCTTAGGAAAGCACTTAAAGGATATGGGTGGCTGGCAGGCATCACTGCAGGATGCTCACTTCATCACCGAGTCCAGGTGTCTGTTGGGGTTTCCTTCTCCACTGTGCAAATAACCTGAGTTTAAGCATCTTAGCACACTTGTGCTGAGCTTGCCCGTGGTAAGTGTGGCGATACAGCAGGGTCTCCTTTTCTTACTTCTGCATTACTGAGTGGGGATTCTTCCCAAGAAACCTTGCCCTGCTCACCACTTATTCATTTACTTGAATTAGAGATGGGTGGGTAGTCATTTTTGTTTGTTTGTTTGCTTACTATTTTGAGACAGGGTTTTGCACTATACCCCGGGCTAGTGTTGAACTCATGGTAATTCACCTGCCTCAGCTTCCTGATCCTCTACTATCACAATATTCCTTCTCCAGCTATTCCTCTTCAGTTGTGAGCTCTGAGGATGGCGTCTAAGTCTCTGCCATTATCCTCCACAAGATGTTCCTGGCTCATCTTGCATCCTTGCTGACCAGCCCTGGGATTCTCATTCTAACACCTGCACGTGTGTTCATTCACCAGTGAACGCCTGCACGTGTGTTCCCCATGCACCAGCGAACGCCTGCACATGTGTTCCCCATGCACCAGTGAACGCCTGCACGTGTGTTCTCCATGCAACAGTGAACGCCTGCACGTGTGTTCCCAAAGAAAGTGCAGCCACAGCAATCCCTCCGAAGCACATGGTCACCTTTATTGGCAGGGCAGCTGGCTCTGGACTGATGCTTCCACTAGGGCTGTCAGGACAGACTGAGGGACTACAGGAGAGGACACCAGTGATGGTCAGCTAGGGTCTTAACAGACACAGCACAGTGAGGGGTCACCATGGTGCTGTCACAGCACAAGCCCCAAAATGCTCGCTCCCCAGGCCTCATGGGAGACAGGAAGCAGAACAACCCATCCTGGTCAGGTCATTCAAGCCCACGATGGGCAGTGCCTCTCACAGACTTGGGAGCTGTTGGACTCTGGCCACTTTCTCGAGGGAAGTCACACTGACCGCCTCTAAGAACCCTTCCCCCAACCTGGGTCAGTCAGTTGTCCCCAGCAAGCCTTAGCCTTAGGACTGAACATTCCAACTGTCTGACGCAGCTGACTCTACCCTGGTGACAGCTGGCTCCATTCTTGCAAGTCTGCCTGTGACCTGAGAGAGCTAGGGAAAGACACTTCCAGTTCCCTAAGAAGGCTGGAAGAAAAGAGGGCAGAGGGCAGGGGGCAGGGGGCAGGGGGCAGGGGGCAGGGGGCAGATCGTTTTGGGCAGGCACAGCACTCCATGGAAAACGAGACTTCAGTTCTTCAGCTGAGACACCTCATACAGGTATGCTGCCAGCATCTTGGTCCCTTCTATGTAGTTGTGCCTAGTAGAGAAAACAAAGCAACCACCATCTGTCGGCAGCTGAGGAGCAGTCAGCACCCAGGTGGGCGGTGAGTCCTCCTCATACTGCTTTGACTCCAGGGAGCACCCCTACTTAGGCTGGAAGTGTCATTTGGCTTTAAAATTCAGCCTGGCGGTTCTTAAGTACAAGTTCAGTGACATCTTCCAACATTCCTTACTACAAATAACTAGTCCTTGGTGCGGAATACTAATTAAAGATGTGTAACATTTGTTTACTTTGTGAAACATTGTTTAACGATGCAAAGATGTGTTGCATTCTTTTATGTCACATTTGTTTAACTCTGTGAAGCTGTGTTACTTTGCCTGTCTAAAATACCTGATTGGTCTAATAAAGAGCTGAGTGGCCAATAGCTTGGCAGGAGAGAGAAATAGGTGTGGCAGGCAGGCAGACAGAGAGGCAGGCAGAAAGGAGGAGGAGGAGGAGGAGAAAAGCATTTAGAATAGAGAAAGGTAAAAGCCCAGAGGCAAAAGGTAGATGGGCTAAGCGGATAAACTAAGCTAAGGCTGGGAGTTCATCATTCGGGAGCTGGTTGGTAAGGCCCCCAAATGGAAAACAAAAACAACTGTGAGTCCTGGCCTTGGCCTAGAACTTGGTCTCACCCAGTACCCTGGGGGTGAATGGCTATTGTTCCTGAAGACTAGCTCTTTGACCCATTGTGCAGTAACAGTTTCTGTCTGTGACTCATGCTGGGTCCCTGCTTCCTGCTCTCCTCAGTGACAGCTAACAGGGTGACAGCTAATAGCCTGCTGCCTGGTCTCCCCTCTCGGCTTCTCTAAGACAGCCTGTGGGAGGGTGGGAGGAAGCCGCAGAATGTCTGCCTGTCAGGGGCAAAGGGGGCTTGAGTGGTTAGTGATGACGGCGTGACTTTGCATAAACGAGAGGTATTTTATGGGTGCTACAAGAAGACTTCGGTGAACAATGAACGCTAGACAAACCCCGTTTTCAATCTGCCACCACCAAACCCCTACGGGACAGAAGAGGAGTGATCACAAACCTATTGCCTGCTGGAGGATGCAAACCAGCCTCTGGCCCAGGCCCCAGTCTTACCTGTTCAGCTTTTCATTCTGGGAGTGGGCACCGTCATCTGCTGACCCCACGGGTAACAGCATGACGTTTTTGCCTGTGGCCTCCTGAAAGGTCAGGGTCACAGGAATACTGCCACCTTCCCTGGTCAAGTCAGGTTCAACACCAAACACTGGGGAAAGTAAAATAAAGAGAAAGGACAAACTGACTGTGGGCCCTGGATGCCAGACAGCCACAGCTTCGCAACACTTAGTCCAGACCCTGGGCTCAGGAATCCACTCTTACAGACTGAGGCCCTGGTCTCACCCCACTCACAACACCATCGACACCGTCATGTGTGGTGTGCAAGACTCTATCCGAGTCCTCAGACACTCCCAGGGCCCCAGCATCCACCTCCATGGGACAGCGGACCTGTTTTCAGGGCTCTTCTCCCCGCCTGGTAGTGAGGATGGTTGAAGTCTGATACCCAGGGCTTCCCACCGTGGCCCATGTACACCTTGAACTTGTTGGGGCTGTGCAGTTCAGCAAACTTTTTTGACAAGTAGCTTGAAACCTAAACCACACATAGAAGAGACAGACACAAGGTATTTCATAACCAGCATTTGACTCAATGAGAAGAATCTGCAGGGTGTCTAGATGTCATGACAACAGATTGGGTGTAATGGGTCTACACAGCATCTAGGAGTCTACAAAGGGCCTGTGGCGAGCTTCGTTCCCTGCCCCTGGATGCTGATGCCCATAATCACTGCAGCAAGAAATAGGGCCTGTAGTCACCCAGATCCACCCTTCTGCTCCTCTCCTCCTAGAGAGGCCGCTCTCTGCTCTGGGATTCTCAGCTAACAGGTGGCCACATGTGAGCATTTGCTTTACATCTTTGGGGTGAGGTCAGAGGTCATATTGTTTTCACATGCTTCAGTAGTCTGAAGTGTGTAAATGCTTGCTTTGTCTCTGACAAGCTTCTACATCGCTTATTACAGCAAACATTGAGGGGTAGGAGTCAGGGTGTGTAGGCTTCTGCCCAGGAGAAAGTTCCTACAACTGTTAAAGTCTAACATGGTAGCAGCTCTCAGCTGTTGTGTGTACCCACATACCTGCTCGCTAACAACTTCAGGTATCATGTCGGGCACCAGCCTGATGGAGAACTTGCCCACCACTTTCCTGGGGATCACAGTCTTGGCCCCCGAACCGGAGAAGGCCCCTTCAATGCCATGGAGGGAGAGGGACGGATACCTCCATCTGTGCATCAGGATGTCTTTCTGTAGAAGCACAAGAGGTCAGGTCTGCTCACGGAGGAGATGGGATGTCTACACGGGAGGTGTGAGAGAGGCCATGGGGACCCCACCCAATGTACTGGAATTAATGTCGTATTACTCCAAAGGAGTGCTGTGCGGCCACATGGTCTCAAGAAGTGATGGTGAGTGGTGTTGGCGTGGCACGCTGTGAGCCTCCAATAGGCTAAGATGTCTCCATTCCTCTCTCAGCCTTTGTCAGACTGAGAAGCAACTCCCACAGGACTCTAGCTAGGCTTGACATCTCCTCTTAGCCAGGCTCTTCAGCCTTGTGCCCAGACTGACCGATGGCACCCCCGTTTAGTTATTTATCCCTTTGACTCTGAGACAGGTGAAACCAACAAGTCCAGCCTGGCCTATTCCTCTCGCCCTGTCCCTGGGGCCCGGAAGAGGCAGGAGCTGTTAGTGCCAGCTACAAGGAGGTGACGAACTGATAGCCACACTCCTAAGACAAATAAATTAAGATAACATTTTCCTCCCGCCAGTTAAGTAACGGCATATAGCTTCTGCCTCCAGCTTCATTTCTGGGCCTTGTGGGAACAATGTGTCCCATATACGCAAACAGAGCAAACCATACCCATGCAAAAGAGGGCTCTGTTTCCTCGAGTCCCCCCACCCCACCCACCCCCAACCTGGTCAAAGGCTGATCCTGGCATCTGAAAGTCCTAAGGGCTCTCAACTTGACCACCACACCCTGCTTTTGATGAGTCTTGAGCACACTCTGCCTCCTGGGATGAACCTCTGACCCTGGATGTCTATGAGCTGTGGTGGATACACCTGTCAGGGGCCGGGGAACAGGAAGGCAAGCGGTACCTTGCAGCTGTGCAGAAGGGTCTCAGCCCCCACGTCCTTGGCGAACTCCTCCATGTTGAAGTCGATGTGGTCATAGAGCTTGCACTCTTCTTCCGTCACAGGAGCCACGGCGTCGTTGATGCCAGGGATGAGGATCTTCCCCTTCTTGTCTATCAGGCAGCCTGAGGGAAGTGGCAGAGGCCAGAGTGCTTAGCCAGTGTCCTGACTCCAAGAACTCAGGTGCCAGGGCAGATGGCGGCAGCAGGATGCCTGGGCACATTATGCCAGTTAAGTAGCCGTAAGGAGGTGGGAGCGGCCGCTACTCAGCCCTGCTCTTTAGAGAGAGGCTGAGGAGCAGATGGATGCGTAAGTCAGCCCCCGGCTGTATACCAGGACATGAACGAAAAACACCCTCACTAGCCAGCATTTCTTGACAATGCACATTCCACAAGAAACAAGGTCCTCTAAAGCTGTCGAGGGGACCTCCGAGTGTCCCAGGGCAGTGTCTCACTACAGATGCAATGTCACTTCACCTGCGGGAGGCTTCATCCTGGGATGCAGGATGAGAGAAGGGGACTACAAAACTACACGGAGGCATCGGCTCCACTTAGCTAATGCTAGGAGGAGGCTGGGAGGAAGCTGTGGTCCTGCTGTCCACAAGCGGACCAGGCAGGGGGACCTAGTTACAGCCAGTGGGAGCAGGTCAAAGCAGATGTTCTGAGAGATGTAAAAACCGTGTCCGCACCAGCGCCAGCAGCCGGGGGTTCTGAGGGACAGGCTGAGCAGGACTGAGGCCCATCCCACTGGATCTGGGAGGGAGACAGCTCTGTAGATGGTGATGAGGGATGGACAGATGTGGGAAGGACAGGAAGGGGCAGAGGCAGGGAACGAGTAGAAACATGGCTGAGTAGGCTCATGAAGGATGCCGGAACATACTAGGCATGCACACAGACAGCTTATTAAGAAGTACCCTGCCCACTTCCCTAAGTGACAAAGTGCTGACCCAGGCAGCTCCCCAAGCTCACCCATCAGTGAAATGAGATCTGTCATGGCTTCGTGCACTGAGCCGCCATACACCCCAGAATGGAGGTCTTTGTCGCTGCATTCCACCTGGACAGAAGCAAAAGGACTTTATTTGATGGCTTAGAGGCAGCTTATTTTAATTATGTGACATTGCACTGACAAACAACAGTAGTAAGACTGAGAGTTTTCTAGTCCAAATCTGCTCCCTCAAGGGACAGAGCAAGGCATTTCCCAGTTAGAAAATGCAGGCATCAGATGGACTCTGGGATTGAGCAGACACACACATGCTATGTGTTCAGACTCCCATCTATATAGGGGTGGGAAGTTCCCTCACAGCCCAGGACCAACTGTGACGAGCAAGTGAGCAAGCGCACAGTCTCAGCACAGCTACAGCCAAGGGTTCTTTCCTATCAGGTGACAAAGATCCTCAGCAGGGCCATCGACATCCCAGCACTTACCTGCTGAGGTGTGAACGCTTTAATTTTTAAAGGGAGGGTTCTCGGGTGTGTATTTGTCCAAACCCTCTTGGAAGGACTAACACTTGCTGTCATCTCTCACCTACTCTAATACAGTATCTCGGATAATACCGTCTTAATTTGAAACTGCCATGAGAATGGACGTCAGTGCCTGAGGTATCAGGATGGATTACGGAACCCAAGAAGGGCTCTGGAAAGCTCCGAGGCCCTCCTTCCCTCCATGTGTGATTAACTTGTTGGTATTTGCCCATGTCAGGGTACAGAAGAACAAAGAGGCTTATGGGTGAGAGAGGGACACGGAGAAGCGTGTGGGGCCCGGCTCATACCTCAATGAAGAAGTAGCAGATGCCTCGGAGGCCGTACGTGATGCACGGCTTACTCTTCCCCAGCCAGTAGTTGTCTGAAATGCACACGTAGTCCACATCTTTGAAGAACTTGTCTTTCTGGGCAAAAATCAACTCGTCCAGGCCTTCGGAGCCAGATTCCTCCATGCCTTCCAGGCAGAATCGCAGGTTGACAGGAATCTCCTGTGACAGGGACATAGCAAGACAGTCCGTATCCTTTTCTTGCAGAAGCAACACACAAGAGACTGTTTTGGAATTTAACTTGAAACATGAAATCTCTCACTGGCCTGTGGGAGTTCAGGGTCAGAAGGGAAAGGCCTACACCATCTTAGGTACACCCTGTCCAGGGATCCCTGCAATCACAGACTGAGCCAGGGAGTGTAGGGAGCCATGAGACAGCGAGAAGGGCAATGCATACGGGCTGAAGAGCACTGACTGCTTTCCCAGAGGAGCAGGGTTGACTCCATTCCCAGCACAAACGGCTGCTCACAGAGGTCTGTAACTCAACTGCAGGCCTGCACAGGTTTGCATACCCCTGTGCAAACACACCCACATGCAAGTTACACTCGCAAACACACACACACACACACACAGACAATAAGAGAAATCAGAAGATATTTTTTTTTTTTTTTTTTAATAATCACTGAGCCTTCACTGTTGCTACGGCTAGGTGAGACCTTTCCCGCACTGGGAGGCCTTCTACGCTGCCAGCATCCCTCTGCACAAGAAGCCGAGAGGTCCTGAGGTGCTAGATGTGAATCTCAGCACAGCTCCAGAAGCCCGGAGTTCTCTGGATAATGATCCAGTTCTTGTAGCTCCTTAGGATGAAGGGGTAGCCTATGCACAAGTGAGCAAAGGAGCTGCATACAAGCAGGCAGCTACCTGGAGACCACACACAGGCGGAGCTGCAGGGTTCCCGCCTCTTTAGAACCTCAGCCCTGCAGTTGATGACTCCTCCCAGTTTCTGTGCCCAGCTCTCGGGATGTGTGTGTGTGTGTGTGTGTGTATGAGTGTGTGTGTATGTGTGTGTGTATGTATTTAAACCTGATTTCTCTCAAGCAGGTGATCCCAGACAGAGAGCATGAGCCTGTTTCCAGATCAATTTCCCACACCTAACAAAAGTATTTATTCATATTTTATCATGCTGTGAAATAAAATCCATATGCAAAAACTGTTCAGACAGCATGACCACAATCAGGTTAAAGATAATCAAACAACCCGGTAGGGAAAAATACCAGGAGCTATAGAGAGTCAAATTTCTAAAAACTCACCCCCCACCCCATTATCCATATTGTATCAACTTTGAGGAAACACACACACACACACACACACACACACACACACACACACACAGAAAAGAATTTGCCCGTTATCACAAAGTCTGTTACATTCTGGCAAGGGACTACACTCATGGGTACAGTCAAAGCTTGAGTTGGTCAAGGTTGTGGCACATGCCTACAATCCCAGCACTTGAAGGCTAAGGACAAAGGGTTGTCAAGAGTTCAAGGCCAGCCTGAGTTATAGAACATGACTCTGTATCAAGCAATCTAGTCCACCTAAGCTTCACAGAGGGGGGTACATGTGTACTCTAGCACTAGGGAGACAGACCGGGCTCTGTGAGTTATAGGCCAGCCAGAGCTGCACAGTAATACCCTATCTCAAAACCAAACACAATTAAAACAAAAAAATACCAACAAGTCAGGTGGTGGTGGCGCACGCCTTTAATCCCAGCACTCAAGAGGCAGAGGCAGCAGATCTCTGTGAGTTCAAGGCCAGCCTGGTCTACACAGTGTGTTCTAGGAAAGACAAGGCTACACAGAGAGATCGTCATGAAAAAGAAAAAAATACAACACAACAAAACAAGGCAATAAATAAATAAATAAGTAAAAATAAAACAGCAATAATAAAAATATCAGCAAAACAAATAAAAAGCAAAAATCCTCAAATTCACAATAAAATAAAATAAAACTCAATTCACACTGGGGATGGAGATATAGCTCAGTGGTACGGAATCTCCAAGCAGTTGTGAGGGCCTGGATTTGATCCCAGCACAGAAAAACAGGAGAGAAACAAAGACCACATTCTAAGTGTTGGCAAGAATCTTGCTGAGTGGTGATAACTTGACCTTTGGGCATCTGTAAGACAATGAACTGCTTAATGATTTCTAGAAGTAAACAGCTGTAATCTTATCTAAGTCACCTGTGCTGACCAAGGTGGAGGCTTGCTTTCTTCTCTCTAGTGATCGATCTTTAGACCTCTACTCACATGAACAATCTTTAGACTTCTACTCACACGAGCTGATGAGTGGGCAGAATCTGATGTGGGGGTGTACCTGGCCAGTCTTCTGATAGGCTTCCAGGGCATTCATCCATCCGGCCACTGGTCCCTTATCGTCCGTTGAGCCTCTCCCATACAACTTGCCTGAAACAGCAATCAGCAGATCCAGTTAAGAGACAAGTCGGAAAGACCTTTTCTCAAGTGATAATGCCTAGGCACAAGCTCACATAGCCGTCCTGAGCAATAGGGCTTTTTCACTTCAAAACAATTCCCAGCTAATCCCTATGCTAAATGCAGAGGGAATTTCTTGCAAACCAAGAGGCATAGCAATGCCTAGGACCAGGATTCACAAAGATCCACCATTTGTTTCCAGGAAACCGTTAAGACTATGTGCCCTACACAGCTAACAGCGCCATGTGCGAGCCTGGTTGCTTTGGAAGCACACAGCCATCATCACAGAACACTACGAACTACACTCACATACCATATGATGCCTAATCTGAAGCTGCTGGGAGGTGTTAGGCTCCAAGGAGCATGGTTGGGCCATCGGGATCAGCACTGGGGTGTCCTCAGCATGGGCAGGGCAGAGGCTGGGAAGTGAATAGAGATGGCACAAGGCAGGGACAGCACAGCCCTGTTTCTGGTATAGGTGGTGGGAAGATGGTGTCATTGGACGGGTGTGTGAGAGACGGTGCAAGGAAGATGAGGGCCCCAGGCCAGAGAGCTTGGACTCTCAAGACCATCAACTGCCTTGCAGACATGTAGGTCTGACACTCCGGAGGAATCCGGGTGCCCATGGAGTTACAACAGCAATGGTTTTAGATAAAGATAACTTTTCCCATTTCACAGGTATGTAACAGTCTGCAGGGAGTCAGGACATGTCTAATGGCAGACTCCACACCCAGTTAGGAGGCCTGGGATTCAGCCCTGGGAGGCAAGGCTCAAAGGCAGCAGGTGACTATCTCAGGGGCTCTCCTGACCTGAACAGTGACAACGGGGAATGGGAACTGCACATTCCACAAGAGGGAGTGAGAAGGACAGGCTGTGGCCTTCAGGGGACCATGCAGACTCAATGCAGATGAATGATCTGGAAAAGGTGTCAGGGTTGGAGGGAGCCTGGCAGGCACTTCAGAGGGCATGTGCTCTTTGTTACAGTGGAGGCTTCTGGAATGTTACAGTGGAAGTTCCACCCAAGCCCCCATTATCTCTCTCCAAACCCTGCTGCATATCAGAAAGCCCGCCAAATGATGACCCCTCCCCACAGACACTCTGGACCACGCCCACAGGGTATTTAAACTGCCCTTCCTTCTCCTCTCTACCGGGGCTGCAAGATCACCCGGGAGCTTTGTATCCATTAGGTGTGGGCTTTTAAAATTCGGTTTGATTTGGTCTGACTTGGATCGCTGCATCGGTGGAGAGGGAAACTTTTCAACCTTACCGTCCCGCTCCACCAGGGTGAAGGGCTCGCTATCCCAGCCATCCTCCAGGGCCGCAGGCTGCACATCCAGATGCCCGTAAATGCACACTGTTTTCTTCTGGGGATCGTTGCCCAGTTTACCCAACAGAATGGGAGGAAGGGGGATCTCCGAGCCATCCGGGAGCTGACCGGGAGCAGTAGAGGACAGTCTGGTTAATAAACTGGCGGCTGTCATTGAATCTAGCTGGGATGGTGGCCTTACTGTTCTCATCCACCAACCTCTGCTATAGAGTGTTAAGAGCCTATCATTTAACAGTTCTGAATTAATTACTCTCCCGAAATCCAATGATTTCCCGAGTCCCTTTCCAGAAACCCAGTGAGCATGAACTGAATCACATCCACAAGTAGTTGCTAAAGGCTGCTTAAAAAAAAAAAAAATCAATATACATAATGAGACATTATGTAGCCTGGGTCTGGGATACAACTTTACTAATTTCTGAAATAATGGCTAAAAAACTACAACCTGTAACTGAGTGTTACATTTTTAAAATTCTGTATGTAGACAACGGATGACCAGAATGGACCATCAACCAGGACATTAAGGGAATTCAGAGCTAGGGAGACAGCTCAGCAGTTTCCTGCTCTTCCAGAGGACCTGAGTTCAGGTCCCAGAGCCCACACCAGACATCAACACCAGGGAATCTGGTGATCTCTTCCAGCCTTTCTGGGTATCAGCAGACATGTTGCTTACAAACACTTGTGAGCACAGGCCATACACACAGCTATACACATATATACACCACACACACACACACACACACACACACACACACACACACACACACACAGAAAAAAATCTTCCAAACATAAAGAAAGAGAATTCACATAATGTCTGGCAAATGAAATGGTAGTTGGCACTCCCCTGGACTTGTCAGCCATCCGGGACACTAACTGTAGAATTCTAGACCAATCAGTCTTAAGTCTTTTGCTACCTTTACATCATCAGTGGCCAACACTTGTGACTCTGTGGCTTAAGTGGAATGTGCTCACGCTCTGCAGCCTATGTGCCTCCTCTACTAGCGCCTACATTATCAGAAAACCTTGTGTAACAACAAGTACACAAGTAGTTGGCAGGGGAGGACAACACACACACACACCACACACACACACACATACCACACACACTCATACACACACACACACTCACACAGACACACACAGACCTCACACACACACACTCATACACACACACAGACACACTCACTCACACACCACACACACAGACACACACACACACTCATACACAGACACACACACACACACACACACACAGAGTGTCTGAGCGTAGGAGGAAGGGACTGTCCCAGCTGGAACATCACGCACTACTACATGTGCTACTACACTAGAAGCCACTACAAAGAACTATTATGAAAATGTCTCCCATAAAAAACACAATGCACAAACTAATTGATCGTGTAGTTAGTCAGACTGCCCTGAAGTCACTCCCACCATAGCCCAATGCACATGATTATCTGTCTGATAATGAAGCTAGACTAACAACTTACGATTAATAGATAAAATGTGCAGCAACTAAAAATGACACCAGGTAAGGACAGTGTGGGGGAGGGCTGAGAAAATTCTCTTCTGCCACCTTCCAGCTTCTAACTGAACTCAGCAGGTGGTTGGAATTCCTCTTTCTGAACTCAAAAGATCCTCCTTCCCTGCCTGAGTGCCTGACAGACAGGCAGGCACCTGGGCCTGCACATCAGATCTCATGAGGTTGGCTTGTAGAGGAAGAGAATCATGCCTTAAACTTCTGGGCACGTAGGGCACACTGCCTTTTCCATCAGCTGGTTCTTGGAGGCCTGAGCAGGGGAGACTCTTAATTCCTTGATGAAGATGGGTGTTATCTGTGTACGAGCCACTGTATTCTTTTATGGACTGCCTTTAAAAAGAACCACATCCGTGGCAATGGAGTGATTTATTTATTGTGATTGTGTTTGTTTGCTTTTGAGACAGGGTTTCTCTGTGTGGTCCTGGCTGTCCTAAATGTGCCCACCCCACCCCCAATTTATTAATTGTAAAGAAACACTGTAAAGGGACTCTTAAAAGTGATTTATCCCACCTAGTTATTTTGTCTTTTTGCAGGCAGGCAAAATGAAACGAGTTAGCATGGTGGGTCAACACTTGCAACCCTGGCCTCTGGGGCTACACTGGACTATACAGTAAGACCTTCCCTAAGAAATAAATAATTACAAGTTAAAAAGACTAAATAAAAAACTTAAAGAAAATATGAACTTACTTTATTCCCCTGTGTGTGTGTGTGGGTATTTGTTGGGAAGCTGATTTTGTACATTAACTATTAAAATTGTCATCAGAAGAAGAAAAAAAAATCTCGATAAAAGTATTGGACCAAGAGTCTGAAAGCCTGGATTTGAATTCTGTTTTTTGCCAGGAAGGTACTTGCCTTCCAATGGCCTCACCACCCCCCTCTGATAAAATATGCACAATAAATTGAATAGCTAACTACAAATTCCAGAACTGTTCATTGCAACTGCATACCTAAGTCATCAAACAAAAGACCCGAGATAAATCAAGTCTTGTCCCATTTGCAATATAAGAGACTTCTAAGATTTGAAAAAACACAGAATGAAGTCAAGTGTGGCTCACGCCTAAAATCTCAGCACTAGGGACACCAAGCACAGGACGAGTTGTCATGAGCCCTGGGCCAGCTTGGGTTACAAAGGAGGAAGACTCTGTCTAAAACAAAACAAAACTAATAACAATAACAAGAAAATGAGCCTAAATAATCATGTGAAACTAAAGTAGCTGAAAAATGTACCATAAAGTTAGATAAAGAAGCTGGTGGCGGATGCCTTAAATCCCAGTGCTTGGGGAAGGAGGCAGAGGGATCTCTGTGAGTCCCAGGCTCTGTGTGGTTTACACAGTGGGCTCCAGCCTGCCAGGGCTACATGGTTAGATCCTGTCTCAAACCAAAACCACTAACAAAAATTAGAAGGAAAACAAGGTGTTCTTACCATGCCCTCTCCACCCACAGATCTTCCCCCATAAAAACACTAAAATGAAACCCGTAATATATATGAAACCCAGTACCGGAAGCTTTGGTATTCATAAAGTGGCTCAGATAATTATAACTTCTCAGTGTGAAAGCCTGGATTTCTAGGACAGGAATTTCAGCCCTCCTTAAGAATTAAGTCATTTTAGCTTACTCATGACCTATAGTCCCTTGGTCTATAGTTCCTCCTCAGCGAGGCACTCACTAGAATGTACACAAGTGCCAGCACAAGCTTACTTTGACTTAGAGTTGACCATCTGCAGCCAAAGATCACCCGAGACCCAGTACTTTTTCCCAGCCCCTGGGAAGAACCCGCCGCTTGAGGTTCCGTGTGCTCATCATACCTTCTGCTTGCCGATATCCACCAGCTCCACGGAGCCCCCGAGCATCTGGACATCTGCAGCAGCCACCTCCATCATCCTTTTGATCTCCCCTCTCTTCTCGGGCCAGGCGGACACGCTCTGGATGGCCACCCATTCTGCAAGTTTCTGTTAGTAGAGAGTAAGAGGAAAGGGCTCAGAAATGTTGCTCTTTAAGGGCTAAGGGCAGGGATGGGCTCATCAATGGACCTCTACCTACAGCTACTCTACTTTCCTTGCACAGCAGACCCAGCTTGCCTGATGCACATTTACATTAAAAATGAACACAGCTACTGTTCCTACCCCAAAAACTAAGCAGGAAGGAAAGATGCCAGGATGCACACTTTTAACTACCAAGCATGTGATTGTAAACCATACAATTCCATAAGAATATATCTATAGCCAACAAAACTGCAACAGAAGGAAACACACTACAACCTCACCATCCAAGTTAGTTAACTTGTCTCCCAAAACTGCAACAGAAGGAAACACACTACAACCTCACCATCCAAGTTAGTTAACTTGTCTCCCCAACAGCAGCCGAGATGTAAGTCAAAATGTTTCATCTAAAGTAGTTCTTCCAAAAGTAAACCGAAGCCTTAATTCTTTCAGATAAAAACCTTGCAACAGTTTAAATATAACATCATGGAATCACTTAGAACATGCTGGACTCAAGCTGCTTTAAAAAAAAAAAGTCTGTAACTATCACAAGAAACTATAGATGAGACTAGAGGAAAATAACAAGTGAGAATTATTTGTAGAGACAGATAATAAACTGTCAAACAATGAAAGCCTGACTTTCACCATCATGCAATGAAGAAACATGAAATCTTAATACTTGACCAAAATGGCATAACTCATTTTAGCCTCTTGAAAATCTCTCTGACTTGACAACATTGAAGCAGGTCTCACTATTCACTTAGAAGAGACAGCCCCTCACCTTGACATAGCGGTCCTGGTTTTCATCGATGTACTGGAAGATGGCTTTGAGGGCTGACATCTTTCAGGCAGACTTCAGACTTCGCAGATTCTGAGCAGAGAGAGCAATGAATCAGACCAGCTTGCAGCTGGGACTGAAGGGCAGTGGCCAGAGCAGCTGAGTGAGAACTGAAAGTGTTCCCACACCCTCCAGCTCCAGTCAGCATTGCATTGTGAACTTATCACCGACTCTCCAGGAAGTGGCTGGGAAACAGCCAGGGGCTTAGAATGACTTTCCGCTTCCTTGCTCTAAAAGAAAAGCTCCAGAAAAACTTGTGTCCAAAGAGGAGAACCCCAGTGGCAGATAATCTGAAGAAAATAATAAGTGGATACTTTCCAATCATGCGGATTTATTTTGCATTTTATTTTATTTTATTTTTGAGACAAGGTCACACAACAGCTGCCCTGGAACTTTCTTTGTAGACCAGGCCATGCTCACACAGAAATTTACCTGCTTTCTGAGTGCCAGGATTAAAAGCATGTGCTGCTATGCCTAGCTGGCATTTTTTTTTTTTTTTAATGTTACATTTAAAAACAATTTTTTTGAGACAGGGCCCCTTTTGGCCTGAGCTAGCCTGAAATATCCTACCCTCTTCCCTCTACCTTCTGAATGCTGGATTAATGTCCAAACCACCAAGCCTGGTTTATGTGGTGCTGGGATCAAAGCCAGGATTTCCTGCATGCTAGGCAAGCACTCCACCAACCAGCTACAGTTTATACTCTTAAGTAAGCACAAAGTGAACTATTAATCTTCTATTGCTAGAGGAAATAATCATTTCAAAGATCTCAATAAAAATGTCACAGGCTGGGTGTGGTGGCAAATGCCTTTAATCCCAGGACAAGGGTGATAAAGGCAGATGGATCTCTGAAAGTATGAGGCCAGTCTGGTCTATACATTGTGAATTCCAGGTCAGCCAGGGATACACAGTGCAACCCTGTCTCAAAAAGCAAGCAAACCACACACATTCCGCCTCTTCAATTGCAAACCTATACCCAGCTTTGGGATCCAGAAAGCAAGATGAATTCATCTGAGGACAACTGATAACCTGAGCCACTGTTTAAGGGCCAAAGATTGAAAGCTCCCACCTCATGTGAGGGTGGCCATATAGATAGAGCAGTTGTGTCCTTGCTGGAAGGGATGTGCAGGGTTTTCATCACAAAGACGTGGCCACCGTCTGAGCAGCTGTATGCCCCAGTTTGCACACTATACAGTGTGGATGTATCTTAGGTTCCCCACAAATATACTCAATGTCTGCACTCTCTGCCCACCCCCCTCAGTTTTTTAAACAAAAAGGATCTTATGTTGTTGCGGTTGTCCTTGAACTTCTGACCCTCCTGTTCCACATCCACACGCTAGAATATCAGGCCTGTACCACCACACTCAGTTCCTGTGGTACTGAGGATGGAACCCAGAGCTTCATCTATGCTTGACACTCTACCAAACTGAGCCACAACTCCAGCCTCCTTCCCATGCCTGAGTCCCCAGAACTTCCTGCTTTCTACAGAGGCAGGAGACAGAGCGTTGTGGAACTGCTTTTAAAATGGGGCTCAGGGTGAAGCACAAATGACTCAGGAACTGAGATTTGCAACTGGCTTGGGCTTTATCAAGCACGGGTGAAACGGAGCTCAGGTGTGCTGAGAAAATTCACCCTGCAGTGACACCACGTCTCAAGTGCATGGTCTCAAGTGTGTCCCACAGAAATGGCCGCACACAATACATGGTGAACAGCACTGACTGTGGTCTTGGTGCAGGGGCCGTTTCTACACAGAGGAGAGAGTTGATTTGCTGTGACACAAAGGGTGGCAGCCACACAGCACACTGAGCAACATGAAATCTCAGGACTGCTGCAATGGTGGGACATCGTTCTGCTAAGTCCCCAATGCCCTCACGATCTTTTCCTCCTTCTTACAACCTGGCACAGTGGAAGAAATATTTCTAGACCCACCACCATCTCGCAGAGGCTCACATGAAAGGGTGACTCCGCCAAGAGATATTGCCCAGGTGTTTATCAGTGGTTAAGTTCCGCCCATCTGTCACTAACTATGCACAGGGAAGGTACCTGTTTGCCCGGTGAAACCTTAGCCTGCAGAACCATCTGGTACGCTGGGAACTTTTCACTGGGGCAGGAGCACCATGGTGCAGCATCACATTCTCACGGTTAAACTTAACAACTTTGTTGCGATTGTTACCCAAAGATGTAACACCCAGGGCAGGAGTGAGGCTTCAACTAGCCTAAAGGGGTTCACATCAAAGCAACCCTGCCTTTAAACTGCAGGCGCAGAAGAAAGTTAAGCAGGTTCACCTCCCCTCTCCGTCCCACTAGTTTCTGACGACTCCTGCTTCACCTCCCCCAACGACAAGGTCATCAATTGCAAACCATTCAGTGAGTGGCTTGGTGGGTTTGAACAAACAGGAGCAAACTTCCTGCCAAATGCGGCAACAGCTTCACTACCACAGTCAGCCTCAGGTTCTCCAGGAGCAAGTACAAACAGGGTCCCACGACAGGGATGATGACAAGACTCTGGAGAATATTGGTGACCCCAGGTTCTCAAGGGTTAGTACGGTGGACCAAACATCTACTCCGCTTTACAAATGAGTAAGCTGTAACTGGTGCATGGAACGAGCGGCCTGCTCGCACCAGCAAGCTGGCCAGGGGAGACCTCTCTCCTGCGGATCCACCCTACGGGCAAGGTCCAGCGGGACCCTGCCCAGGGCCTTCGCACCCAAGGCGCGGGTCTGGAGCCAGGCAACGTCCTCAAAGTGCAGGCGTGAGGGCTGCCTAGCCCTTTGCTCCCTGCGACCCATCGGCCCCAAGTCGCCAGGCAGGCTGGCCTGGGCGCACAGCCCATCGGCCCTGCAGGGCGAACCAGGGGGTCCTGACATTTATGGGGGCAGGGGGGGATCGGCCGATCAGAACCGGCTCTTGCGGCCAGGGAGGCCTGGGCGCCGGGCTACGTCCCTCCGGAACTGCGGGTCCGCGCCGGGGCCTGGGGTGACTCAGGCCTGGGCTGACAGCGCACTGGGGATCCGGGACCTCCCGGCCTCCGCCGCTCCCACCTGCGCGCCCCGGGCCCTTCACTTTCTCGCAGACCAAGGTGCCTCCCGCCCTGCCCGGCCCTGCGCCCAGCCTTCCCCGGCCCGCGGCGCCCTCCCGGGAAGGGAGGCCCACACGGCGGCCGCTTACCGCGCCGGTTCCGCACCACGTGTCCCCGGCCGCAGCACCAGCCAATGCCCGGGGGCCTGGGGCGGGCCCGGCCCCGCCCCGCCGACGCTCCCCTCCGCAACAGCCAATGCCCGGCCTCCTGGGGATAGCCCCGCCCCCGACGCCACGCCCTCCTGCCTCCGAGCCAATGCGGAGCGCGGACTCAGCCGAGCGGGCGGGGGCCACGCCCCTCCTCCGCTCCGGAACGAGCCCCCTAGAGGTCGCCTTCAGTGCTACGTTAAAACCCCAAAAGGAGGAGCTCACCCTCGAAGACAGGATCACGCGCCCCTCTCCCCAGGGATCCTGTGTTTCCAACTGCTCCCCTGTTCCTGCAGTAAGCCAGGGGGTGGACATTCCAGGCTGCACGCACTCCACTTCGTCCCTTTGTTTACGAAGCGTAGACAAGTGCTGGATCACCAGTTCGTGGCATCGTGCCAGCCCCTCCCATCCGTGTGTGTGTGTGTGTGTGTGTGTGTGTGTGTGTGGCATAATGGCATACATTACACACACACACACACACACACACACACACACACACACACACACACACACAAGGCTTTTGCCTGAATATATGTATGTGACCACTCGTCTGCCTCATGTCTGAGGATGCCAGAAGAGGGCATCAGATTCCCCAGAACTGGAATTATGAGATGGCTGTGAGCTGCCATACGGGTCCTGAAAATTCAAGCCGGTTCCTCTGCAAGAGCAACAAGGGTTCTGAACCTCTGAGCCATCTTCTCTCCAGACCTTTCTACATTCAGAGTTGCAAGGAATATAGTCTCACACACTGCAAATATTCTAAAATAAAATGACCCCTTTTCTCCTTAAAATTGGCACGAGTTTTCTCCTCGACATCCCTGCGGAATTTTGTCAAATGTAATGGTTTATATTGTTGATCTTTTAACTGATGACTCTGTCATACTTTCCTACAGTTATATGTGTGTGTATATATGTGTGTGTGTATTTAAATTTTTATTTGATTAAAATATAATTAGATCATTTTGTCCCCTTCATTTCTCCCCCATCATCCCCTCCATGTTGTGTGGTCTCTCCAATTCATGACCTTACCCCCCTTTAATTATTATTGTTACATGCAATAATAGCTTATTTTATTATCAGATTGAACTCAGTGCTTCAAGCACTCTAGCAAACACAGACCCACTTTATGTAATTTGTTGTTTGCTTGTAACCCAGGCTGGCCTTAAAGGTGCTATGCAGCTGGGCTTACATCTCTGATCTTCCTGCCTCCACTTCCCAAAGTGCTGGGAAAACTGGAATGGGCCACCATGCCCAATCTAAAATATCTACACATTTAAAAAAAATAGTTTTCATTGTGTTTTTTTTTTTTTTTTAATTATGTGTAGGTGTGTGTGTGTGTGTGTGTGTGAACCAGACCTGTTCTGCAATCCCTGGAGTGGGGATTATAGAAGGTCAGCTGATGTGGATGCTGGGGACATGGGTTCTCTGAAAGAGCAGCAAGTGGTCTGTGGAGCCTTCTCTCCAGTGTGTGTCTATAAACTTTAAGTTAGCATTTATTTTATCTACCTACTTTTCCCTCTTTGAACCGGGCATAGTGTTCACGCCTGTAATGTAAGGATTTGAGAAGCAGAGGCAGGAGAACCTAATGCATAGGGAATTCTACCGGGCAGTGGTGGGGCACACCTTTAAACCCAGAACTCAGGAGGCAGAGGCAGAGGCAGAAGGAGCTCAGTGAGTTTGAAGGTTACAGAGTGAATTCCAGGACAGCCAGAACTACACAGAGAAATCCTGTCTCAAAAGATCAATCGATCAATCAAGCAAACAAAAAAAAATCTTTAAAAAAAAATACACAGAGAACCAAAACCAGACTGGGTTTCATGAGATCCTGTGTTTAAAAAAAAAAAAAACTGTTCTGGGTTAAATTATGATTATGATTATTAATCCCCAACTCGTTCACATTTTGGCAAACAACTTATAGATACTAACAGTAAAATCTTTGGATGCTTTGATCACATCTGCCGAGGTTTTAAGAACTTTTGTACAGCTCTCTGTAAATGTAATTATTGTTGAGAAGAGAAAAGGTATGTTGAAGCATGAAGCCAAAGAAGTGATTTGAGGGTGGGGGCTGAGAACGACTTGTGGGCACCTAAGGAAAACATGATTTCTTCTAACGCAAAGACTTTAACTTGTTTTTGGATAATATGTAACTTGTGGTTATGAGGTAATCTTTTTTTCATTAGGAGGTATAAGAGGAAGAAGGAAAATAAGAGATAAAGAAGAAAAGATATAGAAGGAAAAACACTGGAAAAGAAGTAAGGGGAAAACATCTGGAGAAAAGGAGAAAGAAGGAGGAGAGGAGAAGAGAGGAAGAGGAGAAGACAGAAAGAGAAAGAAAAGACAGAAAGGGAGGGAGGGAGGGAAGAAGGAAGGAAGGAAGGATGAAAGAAAGGAAGAAAGAAGAAAAAACACACCAGGGTAGAAGAACAGAACAGAAAAGAACAACATAGGAAGACCAAGCAGCGGAGGGAAACCGTGAAGAACTAAGCTTTGGCCCTCAGGTAAAGATCCTGTGTGCCCGTCCAGTTGTTCACCTTCCCCACGTCTCCTCCCCAGTTTCTCTGACCGGCTGGGTCCTGGGCCCCTCAGCAGCACCAACAGGACCACATCAAACTCCAGATCCTCCAGCCTCATTTTTTCTAGGTTTAGGGTTACAGGCACCAACGTGCCCAGCCGCAGTGAGGCAGACAGGGCTGAATCCTAGCTCATTCTTGCTAGGTATGCTGACATGCACTTGGGACTAACTAAATCAGCAAAGAAGCCGACGTAAACCAATGCTAGCAGAAGGCTTGAGGCTGGGTTGAAAATAAATGTGCATTTATGTGACTTCATCCTCCTCTGTCAAAAGCTGGTGAAAATATTTTTCCTATGAACCCGAATAAAAGTTAAGAACCCCCAAAACGTATCCCTAGCGTTGGGCATTTTATAAGGAAGTATGTCTCCAGAAGATAGAATTTTCTAGATCCAAACCTTTGCAATGTGCAAAACATGCTTTTGATCTTGGCTAAGGCACTAAGTAAGGCGCTCGCGTCTTCCAAAAAGTCAAGTGCTGGATTTGCAATTCTGCGTTTGCAAGGAGAAAAAAGCTCACCAGGAGCAAACAGGGGCTTCATCCGGGTAACTCCTCATTCCGACGCGGAGCGTGCGCCCTCTGCTGTCTGCGTGCTCTCAGGACCCTGTGGAATGTGAACAACTGGACCCTGAACTCAAAACTCCAGCCACGTTAGGGAAGCTCACGGTCCCTGGTTTCCAACCTGAGCTCCGCCCCAAACAGCAAGGAGAGGGCGAGTGGTCGTGTCTCTGAGTGCTCACCAGGTGGCGCTGCAGGCCACTGCAGGTTGAACAGGGACAAGAGCGTGAGGCATTAGGTCTGCATGTTGTCTTTGCTGAATTTAGAGAAAACAGGAGCAGCAAGAGAGAAGAAAAGGAGAGAGGTGTGTGTATGGGAGGCAAGGGTCTGGGTGCCTAGGGAAGAGGAACCATGCACCTTATTCCCTATAGGGAATGCAAGCTTCGCAGAACTACTGATTGTTGATCGATTTGCGCACGCGTCCAGTTGCTGCAATCTGAGTTCAGTGCCATCATCTCCAGAACCTCACTGGATTCTGATGAGCCAGCCTAACTGGACATGGAGATGGTCGGGCCACCTGCCTCTCTGGCACCTTCCCGGGAGCAGCCAGTGGAGAGCACACTGTCCCTGGCTCTCTGTTCATTCCCACGGTGCCAGCCCATCTAGTGCCCCAGCCTCAAACACTCGTGTTTCCTGGGACCTAATGAGAGCCACTGAACCTCCCATAGTCTCATGGGGAGCAGTCTGCCTACACAAGGTACACACGGGATACTGCAGGTTCCCTATGCACTGCAGGGGGATACTCTGTGTTTTGAGCCGGGCCACTGCAACAAAGAAAATGTCACAAAGTGGCTGCCTTTTGGTTTCCTGTTGTAAGAAAATATGTGTTTGTTATTGCCATCTATTAATTGTGCAATAGTATCATCATCATTATTTTGTTTATTTATTTATTAACAAATTATAGGTTTGCTTCAGGCCTAGATGAAACACGTGTACCCGTGCCAATTTTTCAAATAGTTCGGTTGATTGTTAGCATTCTTGAGCAATAAAATAATTCACACATATAAGGATTTATTTTTCCCATGTAAGCGAAAGTCAGGGTTAAGCCATGCAGGATTTGGGAAGTTGCCTCAGGACCATCAAGGGTCTTTGGGTTTTCTATATTTATTTACATTTAGCCTTTTTGGTTTTTTTTTTTTTTTTCCTTTTATTTACTTACAACCCCAGCATAAACTCTCATTATGCAGCTATCTTGAGCTCCGGATTCTGCTACCTCTACCTCCATAGTGCATCACACCCAGAGTAGCATACAGTTTTAAAAAGTGAATATGCTGATCCAGACATGGCATTCTCTAATCCCAGCACTTGGAAGGCAGGGGCAGGTGGATCTCTGTGAGTTTGAGGCCAGAGGGATGATTGCCTTACTGTTCTTGCAAATTCCTAAGATTTGATTCCTAGCACCCATACAGGATAGCTCACAACCCACTGTAACTCCAGCTCCAGTGGATGCAAAACTTCCTTTTGGCCTACGCAGGTACTCATAGTTACACACACACACACACACCAAGAACTTTGCAGGGTATTAGTTAAAATTAATCAAAGGAAGACAGTGGAGGGAAGAAAAGTCTGGGTATAACATAGAAGTTAGGAAACGGCCCGAGGAAAGAAATTACACATTTATTTATCTTTATCCCTTACCCCTTTACTGGATACTTGTGGGGGCAGGGGTCCTCTTCCCCTCTCTGCCTGTTGGCTTTCAGTCCAAGAGGGGAGGAAGGAAGAGGGGAAACAGAAAGCTTTCACTCAGTACATAGGCATGGATGAAGGGAGGCAGAGTAGGATATTCACTTTGTCTCCTTCTGTGGCACTGACCACGCCCATTTGGGGTGGAGCCAGGGAGGCCTCTGGGAGACAGATCTCAATGAGCCAGCTCAACTTTATTCCATTGTATAAGGAATATATATGGTCGGCGAGCCGGGGGACAAACCC